CCGGGCGGTTCCGGGCAGGTTCCGCCATTTACATACACCCATTTTTTTGTAATGCCCTGTAACTCTAGGCCGCCGCAAAAATTCCAAAACATTCCGGGATTTGCCGGGAATATTACATTTTTCCTTTACATCATGATGTGAATAAACCCGGCAAGTTTCAGCGTGGTATTATAAATGCTCATCTTTTTACATCGATTTGTTTTCAGTGCGGTCCAATACAGCCGCAAAATCACCCTTAATTTTCGTCGCGCTGCGCTATTTTCTTCGTCGCCATCTTGGATTCTTACGAGTAAACCGCTGTTCTTAATGTTTGTTGTGACACTGATCCGATTGTAGCACGGAAAGTGGTGAGAAAATGGTCGTGACTAGAACAGTTCGGGAGTATGCCAGTTTTGGAAGAAGCGATGACGTCACGATTCTATTGTTCTGCTAAAAATACGCAAAAAATAATCGCCAAAAACAAGGGAGCTTTTTTCAAAGCCTGTTCCAGGTCCACTCGTTCAATATCCGGGACTTCCGAGCTACCAGTGCTGATGAAGAAGCCTTTTCCTTGCTTTTTGAATGTCAAGAGCAGTTTCGTGCCACATTACGGTAGTTAAAATCGACAGTTATCAAACAGCGTTCGAAGACGTCGCCGCCATCTTGACGGGCATCGAATTTAAGTACAGGTCTTTATGTTTAGTTTTCAGTATCTTGCCGAATTTTTACGAAATCAAGACTAATTTTCCTCAAAACTACAACGTGTGAGGTGTGTTCAGGCAAAGTTTCATCGATGGTAACAACCTAGTAAAAATGGTAACCACACATTGAAAATTGCCAACGGACAGGAAGGGTTACTATATTGATGGTTATGCCTTAGTCTGTCTATGTATTTTTAGTTATAAGCGGTCAAGTCTGTTTTTGGTTGTGTTCACCGGCAATGCATGCGTCTCTGATCTAGGAATCACTTTATTGATCCAGATCATGTGTGTGGAATGAGCTTTAAATCAGTGTGAGTAGGTTCTTATATTGATTTCTTATATTTTGATCAGGATGTCCGTCCAAAATGTAGACAAACATCTGGACATATTACGAACATGTTGTCGCGTTTGTGCCAAAAAGCTGGGAAAAGGAACGAGGAAGACAAATGTTAAATGTCTTCAGAGCGACATATTTGTGCTCTGAGGGCAAAATGTTGCTTTAGATTCGCCTCATGTTACTCTGTAATAAAAAATTTAATGTCCAAATTCAACCCTACCTCAGTAAAATCAAACATGTGTTTTTGTTTCTTTGTAGTGTGGTCACAGGCTTACCTACCACCACAAAAGCCCCTCCTCCCTCTCAAAAATGGGTAAGAGGGAAACGGGTTGGAGGGGGGGCTTATATACCTTGTGAGTGGAAGCTCACACTCAATGACCATTCAACCATAGAAGAGACTGTGGCCCTTATTCAAGGGGCTTTAAAGGAGATGGATGAGGAAGGAGTCATGGAAGTGGAGGCTTGTGAAGATTTTCTCCACATAATGTTCAATCCCTTGCATCAAATATTTTTTGTACTTTACAAATGCCAAATACATAATATGTTCAGTCCCTGTGCTGTGCAAAGGTCAATCTGAAACAGGAAAAATGCCACACTCTCCCCCATCAATACCTTTGCATGAGCAATAAGCCCACATTTTATGTCATAATATTGAATATGTTTGTATTTGAATAAATCCTAAATTATTGAGATTCTCTCGATGAAAAAGCATCTATATTAATGTATCGTCTTCAACAAATCATCCTCCCTAATAAATAATACATGAGAGACATCTCACAAGATAACTATTGAAAACCTATGTCAGCTGCTACTGTCTTCATTATATCAATTAAGCTTTGGTTTTTGGTTTTCATGTCCAAGAAGGTGTTAAAAAAACAAGATTTTGAGATAGAAGAGTGTGTATAAAATGCGAGCCAGCGAGCCATGGCAGCGAGTCATGCAGGTCAGATACGACTCATTGACATAAAAATCGAAAACAGTAATACCGAAAGAATTAACTGAAAGCTAACCATGGTAAATAAGTGTTTAACCCTAAACAGCACTTAATCATAACCCTAACCCTAACCTAAACCCTAATCAGTAAAAAGAATGCCCAACCGTAATCTGTAAAATTTGCAGTTTTTACTTGTTTTTACTTTATTTTTGCTGATGGTCTGCGAACTTGCATAGCTCCCTTGCTCATAGTTTATGCCAGGACCAGAAATAAAAGTTTATTTACAAAAACAAAATGTACTGAACAATAAAATTAATAACTTTTATAATTGTATCTTTACTCTGATGTGTGAGCTTTGTTTTCTTGAAAGTGCTGTTCAATAGAAATATGGAGAACTATGAAAAAGAACTTTGGAAAACATATGTTGTGTCCATGCCAAGTGCAGCAATCATTATTATTTTGGGCCAAACCTTGTCTAATAGAATTGTTTGAGGGTCCCCACAGAGAAGACTTGGAGAAAAGTGCTCCTCAAAGTTACAATGCCTTTAGTTTAAAGGCAACCCCAGAGTTAAAAACAGTAATTTAGTATTATTCGGATGTAACATCAAATCCCATATAAGAGGATATTTTATAACAACCCATAACCCTGTTGATCTCTGACCTCTGGTCAAATCCAGTGGACTACAAGACTATAGTATCCCATTTTAATCAATATATCCAAAAACATGTAACAGGCGTTCTTAGTTTTCCAATATGTATATTAAATTCTAAAGAGTCTCTTGCATTTGTTAAGCTTGAGCAAATAATCAGTGAATTTCAGAAAGTGGAATAATTGAAAGCAGTCGGTTTTTTTGAAGCGGGACAAAGAAAAATGATCAGGGATGATAGGCAAGATTTTCACTTTGTGGGTTTTCAAGAAGAAAACGCGGACACAATACCCTCAGAAATCCCTTGTAAACCTGTTGTATACCTGGACGGAACCCCTTCAGGACATACACCAACAGAACATATATTCGAAAAAAACAGATATTTTACTCACAAATGACTCGCTTGCACCAAAACAATAACCTGAATTACAGCCGTCTTCTCCGGCCAGTCGCTCACTCCCCGAGAGAGAAACAGAAGCAACGGGAAAAATTACAGTAAAACTTACTCTTTGCAAACATAAGGAAATAAGGGCAAGATTTCCGTATAACCCCATACATTAATTATGCATACATTCATTGTTTAAAGAAAACAAAAGACAGAACAATACTTAGCCTTTGGGATTTTAGCTATATTGTTTTAGAAATTTTTAATTTTTTTTCTAAGTCTTTTTTGAAACGCACTAATTTTGGCGCATTTTGCACTAAAATAAGAACTTTTTGGAACAAATTTCGGACTGTTTTCGCTTCTTCCAAAACTGGCATACTCCCGAACTGGTAAACAATGTTTTAGCCTTGGCAACGTGCAATTTGCATAACAGATCATTAAACTGCGGCCTTATCTGTCATCGTCCTTACAACGATCATATATCTGACGTGTCTGTAGAAGGCTTTTTACAGCCAAGGAAATGATTTAGAAATATCAAAACAATCGTACTTAATTTGGGGAAGCAGAATGTAAGCGATTTTTGATATAATTTGTCCTGGCTTACTTGAAACTCATAACGCGTTATCGCGTGTCGGGTTGTGAAAATTGCAACATTTCTGTCAACAACTGAAAGTATCGCGTCGGATTTCAGCCCTGTGATTATAAATATTTCCAAAAATGCGCTCAGATACCAACTTTGGCCTTCGTTTTCTCGGCTTATATTTAACGAAAATGCTTCATTTTTGGAATTTGAGTTCAGGTTAAGAGTTCATTTCAAATAAGTGATTTTATAAGCATGATCATTTTTTGACTTCATAGCAGGTCTTATAGTCTCATGTCTCATCAATCTCGTTCCCAGGGTTCTCTCCTACCCGCCCTACGGTAGTCTTATAGCTCAGGCACAGTGCCTTACTAATTGGGGAGACTGATTTACTCGCTAAAGGTTTGCTACTTCCTACTTTATCGACGTCGATACTTGTTATTTGTTTCTGAATTGATTTAGTACGCGTGTTAGCGACGACCAAAAATACCTCTCCGGTAGCAGGCTATACGCTTGTATAAATGCACGAAAATTCAAGGGCCTGGATTCCAGAGAAATTACCTCATTGCCAGATATCGAAAAGGTGATTTACATGGCACGTCATTTCAATCCTCGCCGAAAATAAATCGCATGCTCATCACAAGACTCATGTGCATACCGTGAAAGTTTACAACACCCGATCATCGCAATTTTGCTAATTAAGATTCTTATTTTTTTTTTTTTGCGACCACTCAGTAATGTTCACTTGCTCCAAAGTAATCAACGGTTTCAAGCGATAGAATTCGTGGACTGACGCGTTTCGGAAAAGCTCTAAATTTAATCTTTCCTAGGCTTTTTTCGCAAAACATGCGTGGCTTCAATCACGCAACGATTCTTAGTCCCAGTTTCCACAGTCTCCACAAGGAATGCCTGGCACAATGGCCTGCTTTAAACGAACCAAAAATTCCGGGGGGTACTTCCAGAAAAATTGGGTGGGCTGTGCAGCACGCTTCTTGAAAACTTACCCTATTTCAGACCAAAATCTGTGATTTTCCCTGCCCTATTTCAGACCTGATCAAAAATTTGATACCCTATTTTAGACCTAAAGCACTGGAGCCCGGTGCGTGACCGGAGCGCATGACAAGTTACGGCAGGTACGCGGTAGTTGGCGTAAAATGGTCTTATCGCCAAATGATGAAGTAGCTAATTCTTCTAAAAAACATACCCAATTCAAGACTGGAAGGCACAAACCATACCCTGTTTCAGACCAAAATGGTCGAAATTTATGCCCTGTTTCTACTTCTGGCGCGGCACGTAGCTATGCAGCCTATATAAGGGACTACCGCCGGGGCGAAAAACGCTTTGCAGATTATGAGTCTCGCTGCTTACGCAAGCGAGACTAATAAGGGAGCGCTTCCAGAAGCCTATTATTCGATTACATTGAAAGTCACACAACATATTAACACTTGAGTAGCCACTGTTTACGTAGGCGATCTTTTTTGCATGTGCTATTGAACTGTACTTTGCACCAGCGGCTCCAATGATGGCTGCTACCTTTTTGAAACGTTCATCAAGTTTTACATTCATCTGCCGTGCAGTCGCTTGGTTGTTCTTGCTTTTATCTCACTGTGATGGCCGCTATCCAAGTGCTGTTCATCAAAGCTTAGATCGCAATGATACGATTCCAAATTCCACGGTTTCTTTGGAATGCCTTGAAGCATGGAAGACTGCGATGGCCAATCAATCATTTGCATGTAAGTTACCTTAAAACTTTATTTATATAGATGTTTCTTTCATTTCATAGTCAGAAATTACCGCAGAAATTACTAATTGCAAACGCTATTGCTAACGCTGAATCGTGCTGAGACTTAATTATATGGTTAGCTGGTGCGTTGGTTAGCGTGACTTATAACAATTTATTGCATAGTCAGTAAATAGGTCGCGGCACCTCGATTTGTAGACCTGTTTTCGGCAAAGTTTGGAGTAGTCGATTCTGTTGCCTATTCTAGAGAGAGGTAGTTTCCTTGAGTTTTCTTGACAATGAATTATCATCAGTGCTGGTCATACAGCTACAATACAAGTGAAGAAACGATTTTGATGGGTCTATTAAAGCCGAGAATCTGACGAAGAAGAAAGAAATAACGACAGAAATAGTAATAATAATAAAAAACGAGCAACAACAGCCGAACCCAAAACGCTGAACTGGCTAATCGATATCTAAATGGCTGCCTGGCTTAGGAGAGTTAGATTTGCAAGCTCATGATGATGATGATGCATATTTTGCTCCTGCCAAGATAATATCATGTCCATAAATAATTTTTTGTACGCTGTGGCAAATTAGAACCCAGCACTGAACTGTACCGCAAATGGCCCCAATCTCACTTTTACCATCAAAGTCAAATTGAAGAGCTCAATACAAAAAACATCCTCTCCTAAAAGGAAATAAGTTTTTGCACGGAGCCCTTCATGTTATTTCTTTACAAATAATACCAATAACTGTAATGTCATAGGTAGCCAAGAGTAACACAGTCAACACACCATTGTCACAGTCTCTTTTGTTAATGCTAAGTCTCGATACAGAAAAAAAAAAAAAACACCGGGATGGAGAAAATTCGTTTATTTTAAGTTGGAAAGTGGAAAAATTCATTTGGCAAAACGTGTTGGAGCGTAATGGGCTTATAAACACGTAATGCGCCGGTACATTCGAAACTTCAATACGCCCCCAAGTCGGCAATCTCTCGGGCATTTGTACAGCCCCCGAAATGATCCCGACCATGAAATGATCCCCAACCCTGAAATGATCCCCAAATCGACCCCGAAATGATACCGACCCCGAAATGATCCCCAATTAATTCTTGGAATGGAATGGTATTCCGTCACGGAATTATTACAAATCTGTTGCAGTGTTTACGTTCTTAAATCGCGTTTAACATTTCGGTACAGTTTATGTGATTTTTCAGCCCTTTTGTCATCTAATCGCCCTTATGTAAACCTTTGCATCTTCAACATTATTTTAAAATTTTAAAAAGTGTTAAAACACCATTTTTAAACTTCAACATCCAAGGCATTGAAAGCGTTACAGTCAAGAAGACTTTTGCAGGGACTGATCAAACAACGTGAAATAGACTTTAGTTGCGATATTTCGACTCTTCATCTGGTTTATTAAGTAAAATAATGACCGGAAATTACATAATATGACGTGGTATGATGTGGCTACTTTAAAAAGACAAGATAACAAAAAATAAAAGATCTACTATATTTAGTTACAGTTCATCACGTTTATTGATGCCTAGAGGCTCAATTGTCTTAGCTTTTTGGATAAGGTGGGCTTCACGTGCTTTCCTGAAAGAATCACGCCCATTTTTCAGTTTTTCAATAGGAAGCAAAAGCATACGATTGTCGGAATGATTGCTGGTTAGAAAGTGTTCTGAAACTGCCGTATGGATGTACTTAGCAGTAGGGTTGAGTATAGGTCGTCTGTGTTCATTAAAACGGTCTTTGAGGAGACGTTTAGTTTCTCCAGTATATTGCAGATTACACAGGCGACATTGAATCAAAAGTTTCACAAGGGATGCAAGGCATGCTGTTTTAACATCACTACTAGAATTTAACATTTATGAAGTTTTCTCTATAACCCGGGCTATAATGACCTAAGTAACAATTTTAAAAAATTTTATGTTTCTTGATGTTTTCAGTTGTTATGTTTCTTGATGTTATCAGTTGCAGTTACTAAAAATATACTAGACTTTGTGTATTTTTTTTGAAAATAATATTTTCGTTTAATCCAGTTCAAAGTGTAATCCCAAATTAATGTCATGTGGGCAACTGAAGATCATTAGTGAAACTTAAGTTATAATGTTGTGCATTTTGCACGATCCGTAGTTCTAGGATATCATTCCATTCCTAAAATTAAATGGGGACCATTTCGGGGTCGACGTGAAGAGAAATGGGGATCATTTCGGGGTCGATTTGGGGATCATTTCAGGGCTGGGTATCATTTTGGGGTCTGGATCATTTCTGGGGCTGTACACATTTGATCCTTTTTCAACACGCATTTTGGTCAAACACATTTTATAGGCCAATTATAGCGGTCAAATACCCTACCACAATGCCGGATTGGACTGTCAACGCTCCTCTCATAGAATGTTTTGTAAATTGTGAATTTGAAAAATAGACTTCGCATTTATTATGGTTATGACTTAATTTATTGTGAAAGTTCCCCGAGAAGTCAGAATTTTATTTCCCAATAATAATACATACTGTATACTCCCGAGGGGTACTCAACAAATGTTTATACGGGAAGGCTCCGCTCGGAGGTCTAACCCCGTTACCCTTTTATATACCATTTTTCACTAGAAAGGCAACCCATTTGTACACCTTCTATTGGCAAATGCTACTCCTTTCACATTCTTTGTTTCGAACTTTAAGTAATTAGAATGATAAGAAGATTTCGTTCAGTGAAAAAAACAATTTGGGGATTGTTGCACTTTAACTGCTGTAAATGCACTGTCTTTTATATAGGAGTTTATCGGAAAAATAGAAGGTTTTTTCGACTTTATAAAGCCGTAAAATTCAGTTGTTAGCCCTTTTGTTATTTTATAGTAAATGTACTGGATTTACCGTTTTCTTCACCTGTAACCATATATCGCTAAGTTTGTATATAAATCGACGTTGAATATATTAAATAAACGTTGAACTACCTTACCTGTGGTATATCGTCGTCCTTTTGCCTCAGAAGTGGTTTTTTGAACGATTTTGAAGGAGTTGGAGTTTGCCGTTTACTGTTCCTAAAATCAGTTTTTTTTAACCATTTGGTTAACGACCTCCACTCAAAAAGAGGCAATCAGCGGGGACGGTTTCTGGCTGGCACGTATGAATTTTGGTACGCATTTTTACCGTTTAGAAACTGTGGGATTTTTGGGACCAGTCATAATTTAAGTTGGAGGGGTGGGGTGGGGGGGTGGAGGAGAAATTGTTTTTTATCCCAAATTATTTCCAGACCCCTACTAATAGCACCCATGTTTTTTAGATACCCCCTCTTCAATCATGTTAAAAGATTTAAGGGCCCCCCTTTCTTACATTATACCCAAATGGTAATAACAAATAACATTTTCTTTACTTTACCGTTCTTACTCACTGTCACTTCCGAATGTGCCAACTACAACAGAGAAGCACTTCACACTAAACTGAGAAAGAGATTTCACCTAGAGCCTCTCAAACAGCTTATAGAGCAAGGATATATCAGTGATTGTGTTATAATTGAGATAAGACAAGCCATCGAAAGGTTAGAGGCCGATAGGACCCCTTTCAAGGAAGAAAGAAGATAATCAGCCAAAGCTTACTGCTTTTTATATGAGCAGTACATGCTCTAATAGCAAAAAACTTGACAGTGACAGACAGTAAGTCCACATCAACCTCATCTACAAATAATGATTCGGATAGTGAGATTGCATAACATGACTGTATGCATATAATCATTTGTTAAAATGCCGATGAAATTGTCTCAGTGTTACAAAATAATGGATGTTGTGTTGATGCACCTACTATTTGAACATTAAATCTTTTTGTCAAAATGCTGATTAAACTGTTTTAGTTTTACACAATATGGGACTTTGTGTAAAACTGAATCAAAATCAGGTCCTTTAATACTCAAGCATCATGCTGCTCAGTAGGGATGCTACTTAAAAGAAACTTGAAGACCCACCCAAGGTCACCTTTTGGCATTTTAAGGCCCCCCATATTCCATCCAAAAAAAAAATTGAAGGCCCCACAATTTCTCCTCCACCCCCTCCTCCAACTTAAATTATGTCTGGTCCCTTAATTTTCTTCGAGGGCTAGCTCCGAACTTTTTGGATGGATTTTCGATCGGATATTATGGGGAGAAGTGTGAATCTTTCGTCCTTTTTGCTGCGAAGTTTGAAAGCGGAGCGATGCGATTTCGTTCTATTATTAGGAACAGTAAACGGCGAACTCAAAATCCTTCAAAACCGCTCAAACAACCGCTTTTGAGGCAAAAGGACGACGATATACCACAGGTAAGGTAATTCAACGTTTATTTAACATTGATTTATATACATACTTAGCGATATATCGTTAGAGGGGAAGCAAACGGTAAATCCAGTACATTTACTATAAAATAACAATCGGTTACACAAATGCATGACAGATTGTGTGGGTGCCCTGTGGTCATCCAATACATACCAAACGTGCTATTCCTTTCAGTCTAGCTCTTAGACTCCGCTGCGTTTGTTCTACCAACGAGACCTTCACACTCCACATCAATTAACTTATGACTATCTTTACAAACGTGCTTTAACGGGAAATACAACGAGTTAACAATATCACACGGACAGAAGCACTTACGCCCCACGACACTTCCACACTGGACAAACCAGAACGTGGCTTCGTTATCACCTACAACCCAGCCCTTCGTTCCATCTCGTCCATTATTCGCAAACACTTTCACATCCTTATTTCATCCCCACCGTTGCGTCTTTAAAGCTCCACCCATTGTAGCTTATAGATGTAAGACGTAGTAGTAACCTCAGTGATTTTCTAGTTAGGGCGAAACGTCGCAATCTTACACAACCCAACCAGCCCCGGAGCTTATACCCATGCGGAAAGACTGACTTACTTGCAAATACAGATCTGACGGACAAACTTCATACACATCCTACTCTACATGTGAAACCAGACCTATCACTCATCACATCGACTGTAACTCTAAAAACGTCATTTACGTGGCACAATGCAACCACTGCTTCAAACAATACATAGGTGAAACCAAACGACGACTCAAAGACCGTTTCAACGAACACCGCAGACTAATTGACATTGTATGTGAGACCCTGAAGCACAAATGTCCAGTGCTGGCCACAAGATCCCTACTTTCCTTTTTCATCCTTAGTTCCACACTTCTCAGAGGTGTGGAAGTGTAGAAAAGTCTGTCAAAGTCAGGATAATGTCACACTTTCCTCCCTGTTAAGAACCCCTTGTCATTCTTTACTTAGTTCTACACTTCTCAGAGGTGTGGAAGTGTGGAAAAGTCTGACAAAGTAAGGATATTGTCGCACTTTCCCCCAGTCATGAACCCTTTGTCATTCTTTACTTAGTTCCACACTTCTCAGAGGTGTGGAAGTGTGGAATAGTCCGACAAAGTCAGGATATTGTCGCACTTTCCCCCACTCATGAACCCTTTGTCATTCTTTACTTAGTTCTACACTTCTCAGAGGTGTGGAAGTGTGGAAAAGTCTGACAAAGTAAGGATATTGTCGCACTTTCCCCCAGTCATGAACCCTTTGTCATTCTTTACTTAGTTCCACACTTCTCAGAGGTGTGGAAGTGTGGAATAGTCCGACAAAGTCAGGATATTGTCGCACTTTCCCCCACTCATGAACCCTTTGTCATTCTTTACTTAGTTCTACACTTCTCAGAGGTGCGGAAGTGTGGAATAGTCCGACAAAGTCAGGATATTGTCGCACTTTCCCCCCGTCATGAACCCTTTGTCATTCTTTACTTAGTTCTACACTTCTCAGAGGTGTGGAAGTGTGGAAAAGTCTGACAAAGTAAGGATATTGTCGCACTTTCCCCCAGTCATGAACCCTTTTGTCATTCTTTACTTAGTTCCACACTTCTCAGAGGTGTGGAAGTGTGGAATAGTCCGACAAAGTCAGGATATTGTCGCACTTTCCCCCACTCATGAACCCTTTGTCATTCTTTACTTAGTTCTACACTTCTCAGAAGTGCGGAAGTGTGGAATAGTCCGACAAAGTCAGGATATTGTCGCACTTTCCCCCACTCATGAATTCTTTACTTAGTTGTACACTTCTCAGAGGTGTGGAAGTGTAGAAAAGTCTGACAAAGTCAGGATAATGTCACACTTTTCCCCCTGTTAAGAACCCCTTGTCATTCTTTACTTAGTTCTACACTTCTCAGAGGTGTGGAAGTGTAGAAAAGTCTGACAAAGTCAGGATAATGTCACACTTTTCCCCTGTTAAGAACCCTTGTCATTCTTTACTTAGTTCTACACTTCTCAGAGGTGTGCAAGTGTGGAAAAAGTCTGACAAAGTCAGGATAATGTCACACTTTTCCCCCTGTTAAGAACCCCTTGTCATTCTTTACTTAGTTCTACACTTCTCAGAGGTGTGCAAGTGTGGAAAAGTCTGACAAAGTCAGGATAATGTCACACTTTTCCCCCTGTTGAGAACCCCTTGTCATTCTTTACTTAGTTCTACACTTCTCAGAGGTGTGGAAGTGTAGAAAAGTCTGACAAAGTCAGGATAATGTCACACTTTTCCCCCTGTTAAGAACCCCTTGTCATTCTTTACTTAGTTCTACACTTCTCAGAGGTGTGTAAGTGTGGAAAAGTCTGACAAAGTCAGGATAATGTCACACTTTTCCCCTGTTAAGAACCCTTGTCATTCTTTACTTAGTTCTACATTTGCTCAAAACCCTTCTCGACGGGACGTGACAAGGACTGCAAAGAGATGGTCAGAGCTATCGATTCTGGTGGACAAAATGCACATGAAGGGCCATGTCGATCAGTGGTGCAAAGAAAACTGCGACGCAAACAAGGTGGAAGAGCTCAAAGGGGTAATGAGAGGGAAAAGATGTGGTGTGCAATGTTATTAATTTTATTTAGTACTATAACGATCTCAGTTTCATTTAATAGGTCGTCGGCCAGAACACTGAAACTTATTTTAATCTTATCACTGACTAAGTTATTTAATCACGGTAATTAATTCTTTGGCGGCATATAAGTGCATTCTAGCATGAAGCGATATACAGACGTTTTCATGTTGTCATATGACCTCTTTGTGTTTCACCTACAGATTGACACAGAAGTTTGCGAGCAGACCTTCTCTTGGCTGTCAAAATATGCAAAAATGACAAGGAAAATGAACAGAGGACACTTCGTCTTTTTCATAATTTTTGTCCAGCATTTACATAACCTTAGAGAAGAGGAAAAACTGAGAAACAGTGGATATATGGCGTGATCTAACAATGATCAAATTTGAACCCTTACTGATAAGGAAGAAAGCTTGGTTGGTGATCGGATTTCTTAACTTTAAGTTTCTTTCAACAGCTGGCATTGAAACAATGGTTATATCTGCTATTCAAAATAAAAATAGTTCTTAAGGAAGAATGTGAAAAACCATACAGAAATAAAACGAAGTGCTCATAAAGCTTACTGAGCTTCTCGTGACTCAGGGAAAGTGCGACATTAAACTTAACTTGTCAGACTAATCTACCCTTCCACACCTCCGAGAAGTGTGGAACTAAGTAAAGAATGACAAGGGGTTCTTAACAGGGGGAAAAGTGTGACAATATCCTTACTTTGTCGGACTATTCCACACTTCCACACCTCTGAGAAGTGTAGAACTAAGTAAAGAATGACAAAGGGTTCATGACTGGGGGAAAGTGCGACAATATCCTTACTTTGTCGGACTTTTCCACACTTCCACACCTCTGAGAAGTGTAGAACTAAGTAAAGAATGACAAAGGGTTCATGACTGGGGGAAAGTGCGACAATATCCTTACTTTGTCGGACTATTCCACACTTCCACACCTCTGAGAAGTGTAGAACTAAGTAAAGAATGACAAAGGGTTCATGACTGGGGGAAAGTGCGACAATATCCTTACTTTGTCGGACTTTTCCACACTTCCAGACGTCCGGGAAGTGTAGAACTAAGTAAAGAATGACAAAGGGTTCATGACTGGGGGAAAGTGCGACAATATCCTTACTTTGTCGGACTATTCCACACTTCCACACCTCTGAGAAGTGTAGAACTAAGTAAAGAATGACAAGGGGTTCTTAACAGGGGGAAAAGTGTGACAATATCCTTACTTTGTCGGACTATTCCACACTTCCACACCTCTGAGAAGTGTAGAACTAAGTAAAGAATGACAAAGGGTTCATGACTGGGGGAAAGTGCGACAATATCCTTACTTTGTCGGACTATTCCACACTTCCACACCTCTGAGAAGTGTAGAACTAAGTAAAGAATGACAAAGGGTTCATGACTGGGGGAAAGTGCGACAATATCCTTACTTTGTCGGACTATTCCACACTTCCACACCTCTGAGAAGTGTAGAACTAAGTAAAGAATGACAAAGGGTTCATGACTGGGGGAAAGTGCGACAATATCCTTACTTTGTCGGACTATTCCACACTTCCACACCTCTGAGAAGTGTAGAACTAAGTAAAGAATGACAAAGGGTTCATGACGGGGGGAAAGTGCGACAATATCCTTACTTTGTCGGACTATTCCACACTTCCACACCTCTGAGAAGTGTAGAACTAAGTAAAGAATGACAAAGGGTTCATGACGGGGGGAAAGCGCGACAATATCCTGACTTTGTCGGACTATTCCACACTTCCACACCTCTGAGAAGTGTAGAACTAAGTAAAGAATGACAAAGGGTTCATGACTGGGGGAAAGTGCGACAATATCCTTACTTTGTCGGACTCTTCCACACTTCCACACCTCTGAGAAGTGTAGAACTAAGTAAAGAATGACAAAGGGTTCATGAGTGGGGGAAAGTGCGACAATATCCTTACTCTGTCGGACTATTCCACACTTCCACACCTCTGAGAAGTGTAGAACTAAGTAAGAAGTGAAGAAACTCTGGATTTCATGGCCAGCGCTGGACATGGCTCCCCTGAAGAAGGAAGGCCATGCCTCCCGAAATATTGGTAACAAAAAAAATTTATTCCCATATGTAAAATCAGCCTTGCTTCTTTTGTTCAATATTTCAAGTTATAGCTGATTAGATCCTTTATTTGGATCCGGTCCTACTTTTTTTATAAGTTGGTCCTTGCTTCCAAAATTGAAAAGAGGTGCCCATTTTGGGCGGAGTCTCGCCGTACAAGCCATCAAAAGGGAGTACCCCCTCGGCTGATACTTTGTATTATAAAACAGGCAGTGATATTAGGGTCATGGTAACACGTTTTTTGTTGTGTAGCTGACTGCAAAAGCTATAAGTTCTCACTTTACATTTTATCTTTATTCTTCCTCTGTACGATGAAGGCATCTACTTTAAAACCTGGTATTTTACAAATCAGTGTAATTTTATTTGTTTAGACATTGACGGAATGGGTAAACCTCAAAGTGGATTTCGGCTTGGTAATTTGGCATGGTTAGGATCGTACAGTGAATGTATGAATTTAACTGAAGCTCAGTACTGTTTAGCGGGCGTCAAGATTACAATTCCCCCAGGGAATCAGGTTAGTGTTTTATGGCTAATCTCGATGCTAATTACGTATCGATCGGCATTTGACCTGTTTAACCCTCTCTGGTGTTGGTACTTTGTGACAAATCTGCAGGGTAAATTTTTGCTTTCAAAAATTTGTTCTCCTGCTGGTAGTGCAAAACACTCATTTAGGGAACTGACGTGAGCGGCATAGCCTTGAAGCCGCGAGATTTGCTTCAGTTGCACGTGAAGCCCAAATGCGGCACAAATCCAGTCCATCACGAAAACCTACTTGCTCTCCGCAGATTGGATGGTATACTTATCTCTGGAGAAATATTTCGCTACTACGTGCATGCACCAGTTCTCTTGTTGTCACTGCTGGCCCTTTTCTAAACCGGAATCTCTTCTATATTCAGCTGTTGCCTACCAGATTATATTAAATGTCTCAGGCTGTCCACAATGTGCGTTGCTCTGCTCGGGTCTGGTCGAATTGGGTTATGTTTATAATAACTAAATACATCCTCTCTAAAAACGTTTTCAAGCAAGAGAAGTAACCATTTCAGTCATCATTAAGGTGTCCCCTTTCAATAAACAAAATTGTAGCTAAACTCGCTGACATATTGTTTACTTTTTTAGAGCATTCCCATCCAGTGGGGATTCTGTGCCCCTCAAAGCTGCAGTGAAGATGATATAACTAATAGGCTGGCGATGATTTTTAGTAAGTGACGGCTATGATTATTTTTTTATCATTTTGACTACTTTGGAAATCACGTGAAACTGATTATGATGCGGGGAACGTATAAGGCTCAGTAAATCCCTAGATCCGCTGTAGTTTTAGGGAAAAATCATTTGATTCAGTAATCCGTAGACATTTTTGTCAAAATCATAAATGGCAAGGCGTCTATTGTATTAAGACAATGACTTTTAGCTCTGTACTGTCGTAGAAATTATTTTACATACTATCACTTTTCCTTGCAAATAGTAAACCATTTTCACTGTTAGAACAACCACTTACTGCCTTCGCGAAAATAAGTTATGGGAAGCAAGATTATGCTACCGTCATCAGCTCAAACTGAGAAAAGGAGCAATGACAAATTAAACCGGCGCTTTTAAAAATGATGCTCTCTGCAAACCTCTGAAAAGAAAGGAATCCATTCCTCTTTAAACATTAGGACAACAAACTAAAAGGTAAGAACGAAAGAGTTCCGGTCCAGCTAGGGAGATTACCCTCACAAACACACCAACAACTTTTCAACTTGAGCCTTTTCAATTTGGTAGCAAAGGAACTGACGGTAGGCAACTTCTCGTATTTCGAGCAACTTTTTTTCGTTTCAAGCGAGCAACTTTTTGCATTCTGAGAAATTTCTCTAATTATCTTCTAATTCGGAGATATCGAGCAGCTTTTAGTGCTTAATTATAAATTGGCCTTTCTTCTATATTTCGCAATGTTTTTGTAGACAATTTATGAAATTCCTGTAAAAAAAAGGAGCCAAATCCTCCCCCTGGGGCAGATCATGGGGGCAAGGTAAAAGTAGCTGAGCTGCTAGGTCAGCGGTTTTTAGAGGAAATTCAAAATGGTGGACAAAGATTCACACTCAACCAGCTCATCCGACTTGAGTGTGTCGGGTAAAGAAGGCCATTCAACAATTTTATTGGCTCATTACATTTTTTGGTTTTAATTGAGGATAAAGTTGCTTTGCAATGCTGGTTACGCGGCAGAAATGCACAAAAATGCTTAGAAATCGTACTTTTGTTGTACAATTTGCATATTTTAGCTTCAGACCAAGAGCCACCATAGGAACTATTATGGCTCTTGCTTCAGACCCAAAAAATGTTTTTGTTTTTTCGAGCAACTTTTCAACAACGTTCGTTACAAAAAGCAAGTTTTGATTGCTTTTTGAGCAACTTTTTGAGAAATCACAGGAATCTCGAGCAACTTGTGGAAAGCCTTAACTGACGGTGTGCCCTTGTAGAGGAAAAGGAAAAAAAGGGAGAATAACTAACCTGATAAGGGTAGGTCTACCGTACATACGTAAAATAAAAAAAACAACAAAACACAACACCGAGAAAGGAAATGTATTAGAAAAGGGAGGGTAACACTCCATGTGCCGGATCCAGACCTTGAGATAAGGGTGGGGGGTCGGTCATCCAGAACCCTAGATAAGGGAGGGGGGAGGCGGTCTCCAAAAAAAAATTTTTTCGGCTCTTCGGGCCTCAGTTTGGTCTAAAAATAAGGGGTGGGGGGATCCGCTACTGCACCCGTTAGCCCGACAGGACCAGGAACCCATCCTAAGACAGGTTATAGGAAGTAAATTAGACTACCCTTCTGGTCACGACAGGGGCGGGAAGGGAAAGGGTCCAACAAAAAATATAGCAACAAAAGGTGACATACAACCAGGTAGACCATACAAGCAATATCTTTCTTAGGTCGAACACACGACCAAAAATCTTCATCACGTCGAACACACGACCACTATCTTTCTCAGGGCGAACACACGACCAAATCTTTCTCAGATCGAACACATTACCAACACTATTTTCAGGTCGCACACACGACCAAAAACATTCTCAGGTCCAACACACGACCAAAACCTTTCTCAGGTCAAACACATCCGAACATTTTCTCAGGTCGAACACACGGCCAGAATCTTTCTCAGGTCGACACATGACCAAACTCACTCAAAAATTACAACCTGGCTGAGGGCCTGTTTACATGGAGGTGGGCGACCCCAGATAGGTGAGGTAACATGTGGCGAGTAAACCCACCTATCATGTAAACGTGATCAAATTAAATCGAGAGATTATATGGACAGGCGGGTTACCTCACCTACCTGGGGTCTTGGGTTATCTCACCTACCTGGGGTCCCCCACCTCCGTGTAAAAAGGCCCTAAGAACGGCGTTACTTGGCACAAGACACTGAAATCACGGATCGATGGCTTAAATAGGCAAAAGGACTCCCCCGAGACTCCACAGGATTGTCTGCAAGCCCTGGGGGACTACGAAAATACCAGCTCCACTGTGCACTTGACAACTGAAATAATTACTTGCTTTTCGATGTTTAAAAAAAAAAATCAGATGCTATGATATCAAACGTTTGCTCAACGGCGATTGTCATTTCTCTTAGCAAATGCCCTGACATTGTACGTGGTTTAAATTACTGACGTTAACGTATAAACCTTGAATGTTATTAGAATGACCTCTTTTTCATTTATAGATTGGACGCTAAATATTTTACAGCTGAACAATAAGCCACTGTTTCCTGGGTTTGATAGTGCCGACAAGAAATACGTTCACTGTGCTAAGCCCTCTACATACAGTGGTGGAGTTATTGCTACAATGTAAGTCATGTTTTAATCGCTCATTTATTTCACTGCATTGTTGGTTTTAGAAATAGTTTTGAAGAAGAAGTTCGAAAAATTAACCTTTGGAAATAGCCGGTTTGAACGATTTTTTGACACCGTAATTTTTCCAAATTAGGTCAGTTGTCAAACGATGTTCACATATTTTTACAGGTAACTCTCTTTTAACGGATACCTCTATAAAACGGCCACTGCCACGTCTTCCCTTAATAAAGCAGACTTTCCTTTCTTCATCTATCTCAAGTCTTTGACTTTCTTCTGCTGAGCCAGATATTTTTCTGTGCTGAACTTAAAGCGCTGGTTCCAGCAGGGAGAGGTAATTACCGTGTGGCGCGAAATTTTTGCGGAAGTTTATTTTTGCGGATTGGCGATTTTTTGTGTTTTGCGGGAACTAATTTTTTGCGATCAGGACAGATTGGTTTTTCTTGCTGGGAATTAATTTTTGCGATTTTCAGAAAGTACGAGCAATAGATAATACATATTTTCAAGCAATAAACCAGTATTTCGTTGTTTCTGAATGAAAGAGACAAGTTGTAATTGAACAGACTCAATTTCTTAGCACTGTATTTTTGTGTAGCGAATTTAAGTTAGAGAATATTTACTGTGGAGTAAATTTTCGGGGGGAAAATGTTTGCGGTAATTTTTATTTGCGGGAACTTATTTTTGCGGATCGCTGGAAAAACCGCAAAAATTGCAAAAATTAGAACCCGCAAAAATTTCGTGCCACACGGTATTATAGCCAAGTCACACTTACAGCAAAAGGAGCTCCAAAATGTGACCTTATTTAATTAACTGACATTCTTTCATGCAGACATTAACCAATCAGAGGCCAAGGACAGTCGAAGTCCAGCTGGCTTCTGATTGGATTAAATCTGTACGAAAGAATGTGAATAATCAAAAGTGGTCACACTTTTGGGCTCCTTACTTTAAATCCTTAAACAGGTGATTTTTAAATCAGAAATTAAAATTAAAATTAACTTTAAATGAAAATTTGTGTTTGGAACGAAATGTGTTAGTCAGCTGGACGAGAAAGTGAAATTACTTTCTTGATTTCAGAAATGTGTCTACAATAGTTTTAAAATCTTCATAACAATTGTTTTTAAATCCCACAGAACTCTATGTGGGGTAATCCTCTCTCTGTGTGCTATTGGAACTTTTTGGGACATTTTAACTGACTGTATGAAGCCACATCTGGAATCAGCTGTTAACAAGAATGAAGGATTTATGCCAGTTGAACAAGATAGTGTGGCTCGGATTGGTGACAGTAGCTCAATTCCTGTCCTGGTTAACACCGAAAAATCAGGCAGGTTTAATCAATAAATTAAGGTCAGAAAAAATATATAATGTAATTGAAAAGAATGATCATTCATGAAAAACAATCACTTGCACTAGGAGCAAAAATATAAAGATGAAATTGTATGTACAAATGCTCGTCAACGCGGAGTGTGAGACACATCTATTGATACCTACAAGGATTTTTGGGTTTGTATTGTTGCTGGCTTTCTCGCGGAAGTGAAACAGCCAGATTTAGTGATTCAGGTGTATTGAGTGCGTTGCTCACACCATCATCATCATCATCATCATCATCATCATCATCATCATCATCATCATCATCATCATCATCACACTATTCAGGCACAGAACAAAATGAGATAACACAGGAAACTATAGAAAACAAAATGGCACAGATATTTAACATAAAGGTACAATTTATAAATCTGGATTCCCAATTATTTTTTCCGGGTAAGCCTCTACTTTAGCTGGAGTCCAGTTAGTGTAATTTACAAGGAGTGTGTCCAATCCATGCCACCTTTATGCCATTGTGAGGATATGGTCTATATTTGGCTTAGTATTGCCGACTGTCTTTCAGTGTTTACTGTTATGAACAAAATATACCGTTAAGTGTCAGAACATAACTCTTACTCATAGAAAACGTCCTTGAAAAGGAAAACTAGACTTATGTGTTTTAAGGGTGTACACAAACAGAACTAGTTTGAAATCAAGAGAATTCGTGGAACTTGACAGTATGCGTGCTTTCTACTCATACCCACCAATTTTGTGGTGAGCGATTTTCCAGAAGACGGTACTGCATACAAAACAAGGCCTTGGCGGTATTATTAAAGGCCTAAGTTAGCTCTCAAAGAAATGAAGAAAAAAGTAGCTTGAAGGGCGCCGATGTACAGAAACATTTTTACAAAGCATAAGACAACACTGTTCAGTAGTAAATAGGTGGAATATTGTCCGCGTGGATACCCTGCATATCGATTACAGTGAGAGACCTTTCGACAACTTGAGAGTCAAAGTGTGATGCACCTCGTCAGTTGATGATATTTTAGTTTTGATATTGAACTAATGGGAAGTGAAGTAATGTTGTTTGTCGCCTGCCAGTTAAATCATGGTGTTATTGGTTAAAACTTTAAATTGAAGTGTTGCATTTTGACCCGTCTTTTGTCATAGTAAAAACGATCGTTTTTTGTTAGTCAAACTGTCCGTGTTGTCTAGTCACTTTTGATATTGTTATCAGTTTTATCACAGTTGGTCAAGGACTAAGACGCTTGTAATTTGCCGATGACTGCTGACATCGATTCAGTCTTCAGGCTATTATTGGTGTGTGTAAAGACGCTGATTAATTGCAATTATTATTTAGGTTGGGGAAGAAAACTAATTAAGTTCATCCAATGCTTTTCACTGATTAAGAACACGAGCCTCATTATGGACACGACAATCAAACCAGGCGCCATTACCTCCATCAATGGCGTGAGAGTCCTCAGCATGTGGTGGGTCATACTTGGACATGTGTTTATCTGGCAGTTGATTGGGGGAAATGTCAGTAAGTTCTGGCAGTATGGCTTGTACTATATATATAAAATCATGTTTCCAATACTTTGTAATCGTAATTGGTTTCATACGTTTTTCAGTGCAAGTTAGACATCTTACTTCTTCATTGCTGGTTTTCACATGACTTCATTAGAATTCAGCACTAAAGAATTATCGACCTTCCAAAGTTTTTACTTTTATGAAGAAGGAGGGCAGCTTAAAAATAATATTCATATAAATCTCACTTCAAAAGGGCTCTTCGTTTTTGTGATGCAGTATGTACGCTTTTGTGTGACGCGGCATTTTCATGCCGGCGAAAAGAGCTGTCATGTAGGTTAAGCTGACCCATTTTGGTGGATTTTGCTTTCTGAACAGTCATTGTATTAGAAAACGTATTCCTTGAATGTTTATGAGTTCCTTATTTGAGTGATTAATTCACGCTTTCGTTGCAAACCTCAGTGACAGCGGTTCGCTTTTTAAGCTTTTTTTTTGTGTAAATTGGACTTATAACTTTCTTCACTTCAAGTCATAACTTAATCTGAATTTCATAAGTTCAGAAATGCCAGCATCTTGTAGAGGATATCCACAGCTCTTTGAAATTATTGAAACTCAAATAATTTTGATGTACCTTGTTTTATTCCAGGCAATCTGGCTGTGGCCATCCCAAACATTCTGACTCGTTTCAGTTTCCAAGCTATTGCCAACGCTTTTTTCTCGGTTGACAGCTTTTTCTTTTTAAGGTGAGTGAAAAGTATTTATAATCGTAACGATTTGAACGTTATTTCATATTTCACAAGTTTTTTGTGTTGACGTCGGAATAGGATCATCGTTTTGTTTTGAACTGTGAACCTTAAATGCATATTTTCACTGTTTTGTTAGCTCCATGAGTTTATTGTGCTTCTTTTTATTCCAGTGGTCTTCTTGTGTCTTACCTTTCCTTTCGACAAATGGATCGTGCTAAAGGACGTTTACCGCTTTTTAAGTTTTACTTCCATCGCTTCTGGAGGCGAGTGTTTACTTTGTTTTTATATCCGTTGTGGTATGACGTAACGTATATAGGGCGGTCCAAGTAATGTTGTACTCAATATCTCTATTTCTCGCACTCCCTGAAGCGATTTTAAGCGAGAGGGTTATTTCAGAGCTCTTGACAAGAGATCTGGGTCAAAAATAAGCGAGAGCAGGGGGCGTAGCCAGGCGATTTCTTGGCATCGTAGATCGCACGCCAAAACTTTCACACGTATTTTCACCCTTCTCATAGTGTACAATCATTTATGACTGAGTCTTAGTGGACACTGACATGGCGAGGGGAAAAATGAGCACAGTGGCTAATTTCTCGGTTGTTTCGCTCAGTGTATTTCTAACTTGTCAAAGAAGAAGAAGGCGGGGCAGCCTTTTTAGTACAAATTGACCGGCAAGTATTTTAACGGGGCTAAGTAGAATTGAAATGGGGGCTAGTCAGATCAATTCTCACGTAAAATTAAGCAAAGTAAAGAAAAGAACCATTCAGATAGATTGGTTTGTTCGAAGTTGCTGCGTCGATCAATGTAGAATAGTCATAGGGCAAGAAAATAAACTTGCCTTGTTAATTCAAAGTAGCGATCAATTCCATTATATCAAGTTAATCCCCAGCATTAAAGAAAGCAAAAACAAAACCAAAAACCCAAAATTAAACAAAAACAAGCGAGAAGAAAAAACGGTGAACGAGGTGTTATTTAAGAGCTGAGACCCTCCATCCAAAATAACTTGTTTCTATGATTCTAGCTGGTGATCAAAGTAAACAAAGGGGAACCCTTTACAACGTATCGACTTGAAAAGTCATGATGGTGTTCAGCGACAGATTTTCCGTGTAAATTATGTGCCAATTTTGCATGCGTATCACCCTGATAGCTGTTGCAAAAATACGGTTACATTTTTCCCCAAGCCCTTATTGACTTCCTAAGATGGACAGGAACATAACTCGTTTTGGGCGTGGCTCCAATTCATTTTCACATTTGAAAGAGTATCTACTTCTGCGTGTCTTTTTTGAATAAAAGCTCTTAGAATACTGCAGCAGATCTAAGTAAGAGCAATTATTATAGATTTAACCACCCTAAAGCGGTACCAATCCACTCAAAGCTACGACGAGCATCCCCGTTATTTTTAGTGTGAAATCCCCCGAATCCTTTTGCTTAACATGTCATGTTAGTTCGTATGAGACTTTACTTTAAGAACTCAACGACTACAATTTGGGGTAACCAGGAATGTTCTCAAATCGATTGTAAAGTAAAAAATCGCGTTCCATCGATTTCTCATAAAAGGCACCCTTTTACGGCTTTACTGTGACCTATTCTCATTTTGTTACAGGCTGACTCCCACTTACATGTTCGTGTTGTTGTTCTATGCAAAAATGACTGGTTTCTTGGGGGAAGGCCCTTTGTGGTATCAAGAGCAGAGAAACCCAGCTTGTGATAAATACTGGTGGACTAATCTTCTCTATATCAACAATTTCTGGCCGAAGGGATTACAGAGTGAGGTATGTGTGTGAGTGTGACCCCGTTTTGCGCGGTCGACACCTAATTTTTTTATGGTAAAATCTGTGACCCTCGGATTACATATAATTATATATGTTAGGAGATGTATAGCTCGCTCGGCCAATAAACGAGTAAGGTACCGAGACTCTGTTCTTCCACTTCTGAGTTTTTATTCTCTTGTGGCGTTCTACAACTAAGACAACTCTTCTTCTATTAGCAATCCATCACCGGCGAATTAAATAACCAAATTGTAGACGTGTTTGGGTTAGCTGACCGTGAGAACTTTCCATCGCTCATCCTGTCGCTTAACTTGGGGAGAATAGAATAGTCTACATTGTCGTAATTGACTAGTACCAAAGAGCCAATTGAATGCTAGCGGTAAAAACTGCTCGCTAGAACCACGCATACAAAACAGGAACTTCAGTGTAGGTAAAACTCAAGGTCAGCTTTTGTCCCCGAACATGCTTAGTTCAAAGATCTACAACAAAGTTTAATTATTCCTTCAAATAGACGAATGGATACTTCTCAAAAACGCAGGAACTAACCGTGTGGGCTATACATTGAATTTCCTTGGACTATAAACTTTTTATTAAGAAACTAGCACGTACTACAAAGTAATCACTCGAATAAACATAAGGAAAACCTTAATAATACCAAAACTCAAAAACAAAACTAAAGGCAACTATGTATTTGCGTTAAAGGCCTGGTGTGTGGAAGGCGAGATTAGAGAGAGTTCAGAAGTGAGACAACAGGGTAGGTAGCAACAGAAGTGAGAAGTGTAGAAGAAATCGTGAAAGCTAAAAAGACAGTGCAGCACTGGTTTGTGAAGACTTTACACGAGATCAGTATTTTCAGTGCATCGCACTTTAGTTAATTCCTTCGTCCTTTATTCTTACAGTCTTCAAAGCATGAGCGAACCGTCATAAGCAAACTGCACGTATTTGTATAGTTATTCAGTTAATATTTCACATAAATTTTAACTGCCTCTCTTATCTTTCAATTAAACTATGTATTCCTTGCTACCATAAGGACTGATGATGTAATTTATTGTAAATTGATAGTGCATGAACTGGAGTTGGTACTTGGCAAATGACATGCAGTTTTACATCATAAGCCCAATCATTCTTTTAGCAGCTGGACGGTAAGTACAAACGTAATGAAAGTGTCACTTCAGAGTAGTGCTTCTACTAGGGGTTAAAAGGGGAACTGTAGTTTTTTCTAAACTTTTTGTTTGTTGGTATTGTTGCTTTTTTTTGTTAACAACCGCTTGTATTCACGTTAATTAACGGGACTGTTTAGAAAGAACAAAAAACGCCTGAATTTTGCGCTTACATTAAGTAACTCGTTATTCTTTGTAACCATTGCCCGCCTCGACTAGTTCTCACTAACTGCTGGTAGAGCGCTTTTTGCAAAACATTTGAAAAGAATTACTGAATAAACTGAAACTGAAGATCGAGCAGTGTTGGAGTATATATGTTGTGGACTTGCATCCTCATAGAAACATTCGTCTTCTTTTTAAGTTTTTTTTTTCCTTTTTTCCAGATTTGGAAAGCGTGGTTTCCTCATAACATTTGCATCTCTTCTTCTTGGCCACTTCATCACTACCGCTGTAATTTTAGGTCACTACAATCTTGATCCTCTTTTGATGGGTGGAGGTGAAAACCCGTAAGTAAAAATGCAACACGGCAGTCGAAATACATCAAACACACGATAGAGTGTATGTTACATATCCAACACAGAGGAAAAAAAAGTTTAGATACCATTGTAGCATGGCGACCAGTGGCCCGTATTTAGGGACCCAAGGGAACGAAACTACGACGGCCACGACAACTTAAACAGGAACGTAAAAAAAGGTAACGGGTTTATGAGAAAAACAACAGCTCTGCAAGTGCATCAACCTTTATGTCAATTTCTTCGCTGTCCCTTCACAAATACAACGTGAAATGACCAAATTTTAAGATTATCCGAGAACGGGAACGGCAAGGCGATAACTTTTTGCTGTCTGTTTGTGAACTCGGACGCGGTGGCATCAACCAACGAGGAAATTGTCATCAGTTGTCGCAAGACCACGTTCTTTTGTCATTTGTTTGTCTTTTGAATTATTCGTGTGTTTAAGAGTCTCTATTCGAAAACCTTTCGTTAATTGTTAGTAATCTAAGGACCAGTTTATATCGGGATCGTTTTTGACATGTGCCGAATTTAATGCTAATGAGGAAAATCTATTGTTCTCGCTCATTGGCATTAGATTCGGCAAATCACGTGAAATGCTATGCGACTTAAAAGAAACCCAACATTATGCAAAGATTGCTCCATTTCTTGAAACAAACTACCAGATGCTGATTTAAAAAACAAGTTAAAAGGGTAAAAACACACGGTCCATAAAAGAGAAAGGTATCATTCTTGATACTCATGCATGTTTTCAGTTACAGTAATAAATGTTCTGTTAATGGTGCTGTTTCATTTGTAGCAATGTTAATCAAGGCGACATAAACTTCTCCGACCTGGTTTATATCAAGCCTTACTGCAGGATAGGTCCATACCTTGTTGGTATGGGGCTTGGTTATTTGCTGCATCTACAAAAAGGCTCCACTAGGAAGCCACACTGGGTAAGGAGAGTTAATCTATATATATACTCTCCAGTGGTTGATACCGACCTTCAGATAAGAGGAGGGGGGGTGGCTCGGTCATCCAGACCCTGAGATAAGAAGAGCGGGAGCCGGTCACAAAAACATTTTTTCTGCCCTTTAGGCCTCAGTGTGGTCGAAAAATAAGGAGGAGGGGGTGGGGGCGTTCCCCTCCTCTAGATTCGCCAGTGCTCTATACTGTACAGAATGCATATCACCTTTCGTTACGACTAAACATCAACAGTGTAGGTTAGTCTGGGTTAGCGTATTTGAATGTCTTTTTGAAATGCTTGAAAATTTTCATTAAGTTTACAAAGAAACAAATATTGCCTTTCCCAAAACGTAGAACCCATAAAACATCCTGTCTGTGGATTATGGGCCGTTCAATTATTGTCGTTTAAAATGTCCGTATTTATAGTGGTGGTCACACAGGTAACCCAGGCTCTGTGATAGTACCACAGTACGATTCGCTTTTCGAGTTTCACAAAGTCTGATAGATTCTGTTGGCTAGCTGAAGAAGCTTCATTGGTTTCCTCATTCCACATTTTGGTCAGTCCTATCTCTACGAGCGCAGTGTGTTTATTTACCGGTAGAGTTCGAATTTCTTGGAAAAAGTGTCAAAAGTGGTGTGAATGGTGGCTGCCATTTCATCTCCAGCCACCTATCTTGTCTATATGGGATAATATGAGCATATTATCACGAAACTTCGTTGAGTATTTAGGAAAACAATAACTTTGAGTTTTCATTGAGTTTTACTTAGTATTTCCTACAAATTTTAGGATCGTAACTTTACCCCATATAAGCACGGTAATTTTACAGGAATCGCACTATGGTACTCACAGAGCCTGGGTTATCTGTGGTGGACATGCTAGAAGTCTGTGATGTTTGAGACGTGTCACAAATGTAATACGGATTTTTTCGTTAAAATGGAGTAAAGCACACTAATGAGTATTCTCTCTTGTTCCCGCGGTGTAGTCAGTTAACATTTTATCGAGCTAAATTGTTACTCTGTGTTGTTTTACTGATGTAACCTTTTCTTTGTTGTTTAGATTGTGATGCTTGTGGGTTGGTGTGTGGCCATCTTTTTCGCTTTATCTGTTGTGTACGGACCTTACAGGGCTTTCAAAAAGAACCCAGTACCGTTTACAAAATTTGAAAATGTCTTATACGGGACATTCAGTCGTTTTGCCTGGGGACTGGCTCTAGCCTGGGTTACTTACGCCTGCCATCTTGGGTTTGGAGGTATGTTTCATGATTTGAACTGGCATAGTAAACTTAACCCTCTATCTTACGAAATACTTGTAAGTTTGTTATTATGATGATGAGAAAAGGTTTCAAAATACAAAAACAAGTAAATATAATGATACGGACAAAATCGATCATCGTGACGCCATTTTCAAGTTCTAAAAGTGTATGGTCGTTTAATTGTTAGAAATAATTTCCTATTTATCATTTCTGACAATTTATCGACCAGACACTTGAACTTGAAAACTTGAAAGCTTGAAAACTGAGCCACGATAACATCGAAACGTCGTCCGATTTTAACCGCCTCATTTTTCACTTGTTTTTTGGCGTTATGTTATTAAATTATACTTAAAACTGTGATATCTTGTAAATTGAAATGTGAATACCCTTGCATGAGATGGCAAATAGATGCCTTCTCGCCTAATAAGAAAAGCTCATATTTTTGTCCTGAGCCTATAGGTTGCCAAGTCAGAAAGTAAGTTTTAATATATTTCGTTCGTTTTACCTCCCAAGGCTTGGTTGACAAGATTTTGTCTGCCTCATTCTGGATACCTCTCAGCCGTCTTACATACACAGCCTACCTTGTACATCCTATTGTACTTTTCGTATTCTTTGGATCATTTGAGACTGTCCTGGCCTATTCAGATATACACCTGGTAAGGATAAGCCATTAAGTAATTGAAGTTAGCTTGAGGTTGGGCAACACCATGAGTAGTGGTGTAGGGATATGTGCAGTGCTACTTTGACATAGCAAGCGGTCGCCGGGAAATACGCTTCCCCCCTCCCCCGCAACCTCACCCTCCAATTTTCGAATCTTGTGACCGCACAAAAGCTGAGAACTAATACACTTTTAACAATGTATGGTTTTTACCTCGACAAGACAACCAATGAAATTAGCTTAAGCCGCAACTTTTCTCGCTTTTCCTCTCAATAGAAAACTACCAAATCGCCTTCACAAAAAAATTTTTAAAACCTTCCGACCGATTTGGAGTAAACCAGGAGTGTTTCTCCAAAATTTCATTTGTAAAAGTATGGTGAAGTCTCAAGGCATTTCATCAAAGGTAAATAAGAATAACGTGTCGTTGCCGAGCCGAAGACTTTTACCCCAAAATGGCACATTATAATTGAAATGTCCATATATAGTCATTTCCACAGTGGAAACTATGTGGGACGTTTACGTAAAGCCAAAATGACTAGGTTTTCCTTTACAAATCATGACATTTGGGCGGGCATGTTGAGAAGATTTATTGATAAATACTCTATAGATGTACTTAACTCTCAATGTATTCATGCAATAGTGTTCACTATATGTGTAGAAGCAATATATATAGACCTTCCTTCTTTATTACTATGGGCCAGCTGTGGTCCCCGTGCCCGACTTTGCATAATGTGGTATTTTATTATACGGAAGCAACGGTGAAATGGTTGAAGTCCGTAAGTTTTCTTTACTTTTTAATCATAGGGATTTTACTTCGCTGGTGGCGTCACGATCAGTTATGGTGTGGCGTTTATCGTGTCCGTCTGCGTTGAAGTACCCACACTCCTACTGGAAAAGCTAATATTCAACAGGGATCGCTGATCAGAAACTGTTACACTGACGAGATATATAGTTTCGTAGACTGGAAGATGTTATGACTGTGTCAAACACGTCCACTTTTACAACCATATACCATTTTTGTTTTTAAAAATGCTGATTTGTTAAAAATAATAATTCGCGTAGCAGTAAAAGAAAAATAAAATATTTACGGATTTATCAAGACACGTGAAAAATTATTTTTCCGCAGTCAAGAAGCACTGACAAGATAAGCCTATCTGAAAGGGGGCGTTGTTGTGTTGTTGTTTAGGGGAGGGGGGGGGCTAAAACAGGAAATACAGTACACGTGAATTTGAAAAGATTTGCAAATAGTCTCGTACGTATGTTTTATCACGGCAGAGTACATCGGATTACGTTGTGATTTTTGATAACCATATAATCCAGGCAGGAGCTCTCTTTAAAGGTGATGTTCATGAGACAGACCCCCATATTTGCAACCAACCCTAACCTCTCCAGCGGTAAGGGGGGACCCTTGACGCATGGTAGGAAGCACAGGAACAATGTACGTTAAATCTCGCGATTACGCGTACCGGATATCTTTTCGTACCGACATGAAAAAATTGTTGGTACAGTATGAACGACAACGGCACATCGCACATAGCCGAGAGGGTTTGGTGACTAACTCACCCCTGTACTCACTTCTGAATTAGGAATATTTACTTCTGTCTCAGTGGGTTCCACTGCTCGCTCCTACTCATTTACTTCCACTACGGCCTGAATACCACCTGTTCACACCACGAAGAGTGGCAGGCGGCAGCTGCCTTTAAGCTTGAGCTTACGGAATTGGCTACTAGTTTGAAATATCAAAAAAATTCAAAGTGGTGGCCAATTCCATATAAGTAGTCCCCAGCATTAAAAAAAAGAAGAAAAAAAAAAGAAAAACAAACAAGGAGAAAACGGTTTACTAGAAATTATTTAAGAGCTGAGACCCTGCAAAATTATGAGCTACAGACGACGCCAGGTGACTCGAACCCTCTATTACTCGAACCTCCCGCTAACTCGTAGTCTGCTACACAGCCGTTTTCAGTGTCCGTTGCGTGACGACACTAAAAACGGCTGTGTAGCAGACTAGCTAACTTGAAGCAATTTTTATTTCCCTTCAGGTCGTTTTCTATATATTTTTACCCTCGACAACTCGAAATTTTTTCTATTTCCCTTGAAGGCTCGAATTATCGGCAGACGATTGTACTTGAAGAACCAAGATGGATTGTTGCAACAAGGTTTTTTTAGTGCATGAATTATGTGCCAATTTTACATGCTCATTACCGTGACAGAAATTGATGCCTGTATTAGGTGCAATTTCACGCCCTGTTTAAAACATACGATTACATAAGCTCAATTTAAGCCACATTTTTGTCCAGCGCTGGCTTAATGGCTGAAAGTCAGCTACGCCCCTGACAGTAAAGGGAAAGCACATCTAGGGGAAATGAAGACTCGTAAACACATAAATAGCGACTGCGTACGAGTCGGGGGAAAATGTGTTCAGTCACCTTGATCTTGACCCTTGATCGTTTTCGCCCACTCACGTAAACACGTGCATTTTGCGCTAGCGATCTCGTGACATGTTTAAGCGGAAGTAGCTTGTTGTATAGTGTATATCGCATACTATACATCCCAGTGCACTAACGTTGTCTTACAAAATAGCAAAAAGGAAAAGCCAGATAGGATTATTAACTAGCCATGCAAAGTACGTTTTGGTATTTGGATAATCCTGACAGCATTTTTGCAGTACGGTATATTTTTTTATCACTTTGAGTTGATAGAAGCAGAAGGCAAACTGGCCATGCATTTAAAAGATGTTTTCATTAAGCTTTTTTCACTTCTCGTTTTCTTCATTTTCCTATCACCAAGTTTTTGCAATAAGGTGTAATTATATATAATTCTTCTATACATCAAACTTGGCAAAAATTATCAATCGCAAAATTTTGGTTTGTAACACAATATTTTTTCTGGTTGTACTCTTCTTTTCTATAGTACTATCTCATCAGTCTTAAAAAGCGTTGAGTTCAAATTAGTCAAATCGTTGTGTTTAAATTAGCCTAAATTAGCCTAGACCTTCCTACAAAGCAGAAATTAGTCTTGCTCAAGATGATCGAAATTTTAACATTTACTTGAAAAACGCTCACACATTCTGATCTCGTTGCTCTGCATCCCTTTATAAACAGACAAAGTACACGGAAATCAAAGCAATTCTGTAATGCTCCTTAAAATCTTTTGATTACACCTGAAGAAATCAGTTTAACCAACAGGTTGTGTTTAGTACATTAGGTGTGTCAAATATTTTTATCACAAGACCCTGAAGCATGGTGAATAATCGCCACGCCAAGTACCAAAAGGGAAGATTCCCTAGATAAAACTGCAAACGTCATTCTCCCCCCGTATTGTTGAAAAAGGGACGTAGAATCTTTCGGAAAAAAAATTCGAACTGTATTTGGCATCAATTTTGTCTATTTCTTAAATAATTCCTCCAGTGTGTTATTGATTTCATTTTCTATCCTCTATTCCACCTGAAAAACAGTGAAAATAATTGACTAGATGGATATGTTGCAGAACATAATGCAATGATTTCCGGATATTGCTGGGCATCGCGTGACCCGGCGAATAACAATTCAACGAAACAGCGGAAGTAGTCTATATATGAATGCAGGTCCCAGTGTTTGCAGAAACCTCACTTGGTTGAACAAATGAGATAACAGTGTGGCTTTCTAAACAAAAGGGGAAAAGGACCGGCTAATTGCAGACTTTAACATGGATTGGGAAGGTTAGTTTCCATGCCGTTTGAACTGTTGGACAATCTCGTGGTTTTAATTTTAGAATATATTCTCTAGCAGTATAGATATGATACACAGTTCTGTAACCACGTACACCAAGGAGCTCACTAGACGAACAGTGAACGTACTAAATCAAATCAGATAAAGGCATTTTTCTCATGACTGGGAAATTAATAACACTACGGTTGCGGCATGAGATTTTCGGTGGTTTGATTTTCGGCGCTAACTTTGTAGATGTTGCAAAGATCCGAGAGAGTATTAAGAGTCACGCTGAACACGAAACCACAAAAATTTGCTGTTCTACATTAATAAACTTTAATATAACTTAACGAAACTAAAAAAACTTTTTCAAAGTTAGGCTGTAACGGATAGTTTGATGACGCTAATATTTTTTTAGTCCAGTACAGAACAAAAAAAACTCCGAGACAGCCAGTTTTAATAAGGACTCCCCCGGCAGAACTTCAGAAGGGCTAAACTATTGCAGCCTTGATAATTTTGTCTCTAAATACGAGAAAAACAATTTCTGTTTCTATAACATCCACACAAAAACCAGCTATGCATAATATTACTATTCCAAATACTAAGCAGATAAAACCGATAAAACCGGTATCTATGGACACTGAATTGAAATTCAAAAAGTCAACGAAAAGGACGTGCACAAAGTAATTAGTATTAAAATATATAGAAATCCCGTATAAACTGTGCAATCACCTGCGTTTAACAATGCTAAGAAAACCGCATTATAGCGGAGCTCCACGCGCGGCGCGAAGCCCCATAGCTAAGGAAATGTGGTAATCTACCCATCCGAAGAGACGAATTTCGTAGGAAGAAAAACATGGAAATTCAAAGCGGCGGTGAGAAAATGCGAAATGCTAGAGGCCAGCAAGGTGAAAATGAGCGGCAGTGAAAAATAAAAGCGAACATGAACACAGGAAACAAAATATTGGGTAAGCACATACGACAATTCCTCCATAAAAATAATGTGTAACTAGGAAGTTTGACGTTTTAGTCGTTCAAAACAGCGTTGTAGTCGTGCAAAACAACGGTAAGGGAAAGACAAAAAAGCGTGCTGCACGTGCAAATTTGTTTTTTTGCTAATTAGAAGAAAAAGTGTGCTGCAGGTTGCTGCAGGTGCAATTTGTTTTTTTGCTAATTAGATCTATTAGTCTTAAAGCCATTTTCATTGTCCTCCTCGTTTAGCATTACACGATTTATTATTATTTTTTGTTTACACGTATTATTAACCAGAGCTTCGCTTTTAGCCCTGGCTAAATCTATATATTACGCTTATTTACCACAATGGACAAGAGAGCCTCCTTTATCATCCACTTCTCTGTCACGGAGCAATGTGTTGTAGCATTACCTATCAACTGAACTAATTCTGGTAAGATTTAGAAGCCGAAGTATTCGTGGTATAAACAAAGGAGAATCGGTTCTCCAATACTACAAATCCTTGACATATTCACAAATTCGAAAATAATGTTAAATTTAATATTCATTAGTTCATTCAAAGGACGAAAAGTATACAGAAAATATATTCACTGTTCCGGTGAATATTCCACATTTTTAACACCTGTGACGACTGTCTACCATCATGACACAAAGAATTTGACTAAACTTACTTTTTACTGTTCAAACGTTGGAACCAATATGAGTAAATTTCCCTTCACGTCTAATATCTTCGCTTTCTTTGGATGAATCACCTTTTAACATACCGCAGTGTCGATGGATATTCGCTTACTGGGTCCAGTTGTTCAAAAGCTAAAGGTGGATAACGCTATCCATAATATCGGATTAGCCATTCAAGTTCCCCCAATATAAGCCTATCCCCTCGATAGCGAACACCTGGTCGAAACCGGGGCCAGGTCCTCACGAAAACTTGGTAAAAAACGTCAAAAGTTTTATTCAAACCAATTTAGGAAACTTTTAATACAAAACCCATTTAATCTCTTGTCAATCAAACGAGATTTACTCTTTTAAAGGTTAAATTATGATTTGATTCAGCCATGCTATTTTCGGGTGTTGCCTTGCGAACATTTATTGTTCATTCGCTGTTTGATTTTAAAAGTAATATGTTTGAAGTACAAAGTATTCAGTATGAAGTATACGTTGCAGACCTTGATTTTGTTCGTGTCTGTTTCTTTGCTTCTTGCCCCGTGTTTGTTTGTCCGTTGTGTTTTTTTCCCTTATTTGTTTCACTTGTTTGTTGTTCCTCAATTTAAAAAATATATATGTTTAGTATATCCTCAATTTATCTTACCTTTTAAATATTACAATAGTAATCTTATACTTCTTTAATTTACTATTATTAACAAATGATAGTCTTAAGGTTGCAAAATCCTAGCAGTGAGTTTGAGTTTATACAGAGAAACATCGATATATAAAACGAACGATTTTCTCGGCTATCCCAGTAACAGTAAAATATACGAAAAAAAAACCTCGGTATAACGAAACCTCGTCATAGCGAACAATTTTTGCCTGTCCCTTGACCCTTCGTCATATCGACGTTCCAATGTATTTGCATCTTATCTCCTCCCCTCGCCTCCAGCACGTGTATTTGCTACACGCTTCCCTACATTATTCTAATTTTTATTTTCTTGATAAAAGTTTCTTTTTCAGGGGCTGTAGTCCTTTTCTGTTTCTGTGTTGTAACATTTACTCTAAACGCAACAGTAATACTGGTTATCTGGAAAGATCCCTACAAGGAGCTCAGACAAACCGCAGCTAACTTTCTCATTTTAAACCTCGCTGTGTGTGATTCACTCGTGGCTTTAACAAGCGAGATTCTCTTAGGTCTTCTTCACTGGTTTCCTGATGATCATTCCCTGAAACATGCGGCGTACACTTTCACCAGTGCAGCATTCTTTGCGTCGATTTTGACGATGGCTTGCCTTGCGGTGGAACGCCTGATTGTCATTGCGTCCTCATCAACAATGGCCCATTTTACATCTTGTAAACGGGTTTTGGTTTTCTTGACTATTTGGTTATTAGCTGGAATACTGGCCCTTCCTTCCGTAACAGGATGGGAGTTTTTTGAAAAACATCATGTGTTCTATATTGCTGACATTATCTGCATCCCTATTACAATCATAGTGTTTGCTTGCTACACAAGAATTTATTTTCTGGTGAGAAGACAATTGCATCTGGACATAACGACTTCACAAGAGAGGCTGTTAGAAGGGCAACCTTTGACGGAAAATTCTCGCCTAATGCAGAAAGTAAAAATGAAGGAAAGAAGTGTTGCGTTCACAGTATTCATACTGGTTTTGTTATTTACGGTTTGTTGGATTCCAGTGTCCATCGTTTCAACCATAAATAAATTTTGTAATAGTAGCGATTACGAATCGGCAATGTACTATACAGGGTATTTAGTATTTCTGCAGCCGCTGCTAAACCCAATTGTTTACTCGTTACGTACAGCTAAGTTTCAAAAAGCCCTTTGGAGAGTCGTCAAGCGAACCATTTATCACTGACAAGAAACAGTAGAAAAAATAATGGACCTCTAAGAAGCCTTGAACAGAGGGAAACATATCAGTCAGACTGCAGAAAACAAGCATAAATAAAAAAGTTCGTAAGTTAATGGGCCATTAATGATTATTTCCTTTTGATTACAAGAGTGATGACTTTAATTTTTACTAACGGCAGTATTATAAAAGAAATATGTTTCGTACTTAGACCTTCTTTGGCTATAGCCTTTATTATGAAGTTTTATCGAAATAAAATATTTAATTTTGCTTAAGTGGTACATTACCATATGTTTCCGGTTTCTCAATTCTATCTTACCCCTCTGCAGGTTAAAAAATCCACTTGCGCTTGATGGAGAAAATTGGATGATGGCCTAAACCAGTAAAATCCAACCCGTTTGTGTGGAGAAAACTTGTTCCGGATTAAAGAGTCTTTCGTTAAAAAAAGGGCTCCCCCAGCTGGTCACGTATTTGTGATGGTAGGGTCACCCTCCTAACAAGGCCACATTTTCTCCATATACAGCTATTTCGAGAAAGGTTGACGGCAAAAATGGGCACGCGACAATCCCGAAAAATAATATAGGATATGATCAATACACGGTTCCTGACACTGTAGCTGTCAAAACTTCTTTTATTGCTTTCTTTTAGCACGCGCAAACATACGTACACGGCCTCTTGTGCCATTCTTTCAAATTTCTTTGAGGAACGGCGAACTCAAAACCACCCACAATACCTTTCGGGACTGCCGCGTGCACTTTTTCCGACAACCTTTCTCGAAATAGCTGTATAACCACTTTGGCTCGCTCATTCAGGTAAACTCGTACCAAGATCTTACCAGTCAGGTCAACTCAGTCAAGGCAAGACAATCAGAGCATGCGCCAGCGCCGTTGGCTATGGCAAAGTGGTAAACGTCTTCTCCCATATAAACGCTCGTTATAGTTGACCCTTTCCCGGAGAGCTCATCTCCATGTTACTGTAAACGTCGCTTTAGAGACATCCTGGTTGTCTTTAGTCTCTCTTGTTCCGTCTTTTGGGAAAGAGCTTTTGTAAGAGATTATTTCAAACGCATAAAAAGATACGTTTTGCGAGAAAGTTTTGTCGCAGACTCCGAGTTTCCTTAAAGTTAAAAAAAAAAAAAATTACAGAGGCACATCATGCCTATTTTTCCCTTACCTTTATAACTTGCTAAGACTCGTTATTATATATTCAAGATATTTCCCCGTACCTGATTTGCTTAAATCTTCCCAACAACTCTTCATAACAGCGAACATTGACCAAGTTTGGAACAGGTTTGCCGATATCAAGACAATTCACGACAATTGTACTACACGACAGGGGCAGCAGAAGACGCAGTAGCTCAGTAAGACGGGGGAAAAATGGCGGAAGATTTCAAACGTTTTGAAGAGAGGAAATAACCGGACCACTGCATAAAACAGAGCAAGAACAGCAAAATTACCGCTTGAGGAATGGCACATGCTATGTGAAGAATATCCGCTAAACTAAACATACCTCGCACGAAACAAACGAAAAACAGGAAAAATAGGAAATAGTTTTATGAGACGTAACATATATCGAGGTTAGCCTTTTTGGACAAAAACTGCACAAACAATTGAGCAGAGGCATTGCAAGAACCCCATGTTTGTCTCCCTCCTAGGGTTTAGTTTTCAGTACCTTACATCTTGCTTCCGGGTACTGGCAAGTTCTTCATGGGCCAAAGTTAATGAAGTGTTAAAGCTGCGATGGTGCAAGTTTAGGTGTGTTCAACCTGATTGATCAATAGACGCACTAACGGAAAGGTTAAACACAACTTTCACGGCAATTAAGCTTCACGTATACCACGCATGGACTTGAAATAAAGTGCACTGTTGTTATTGTCCAGCGACAGTAAACATTCTTCTTTACAGTGTTCACAGACAGCCCGGCCTCTGTAATCTGAAAGTGTGTTTCACCCACAGGAAATCGGCAAATGGCAAAAGTGGCGGGGAGAATTACTCCTTTTTTAATACATTTAAAACAGACAGCAGTATCGGAGACGGTACGAATTTGAGGGGCTCTGCTTAGGCTTTACAGTGAGCATTCAAAACGCGTGATTAAAACAACTCCAAATAATCCAGAGAACCCACAAAATATGCTTTTTTGGAGCGCTGGTAATGTTTTGTACTAGTGGGGGTTATAATTGTTTTCCTCTTTGCAGTTATTCTAATTTAGGAAGAACTAGTATTTTAAGACGTAAAAGCGACCAACGTTTCTCCTTTGGTTAATGTTAGTAGTCCATTATCTTTCATTTGGGCTTCTTAAACTTTCCACCAGCGGCTGATTTCGCTTTTTTGGCCTTTGAGCCTTTGGTTTCTTCACTCTGAAGAGAAAGTAAAAAAGAGACATTCACATGTCAGGGGTCTCATGACAACACAGAATGCTCTGATAATAAAGTTTGTTCTATATGTGTCATTCCTCACTGATAAAATTAAAGATGCCTTTTTATCAGAATTAAAACCCAGAAAGATTCCAATCTCGATGTGACTTGTCAAAATCCTTTATACAAACAATGTCCGCAATTAAGAGAGAAAAACAGAAACAGCCAACAGAGGTTCAAGAAGAAGACTTTGAAACACCACGCTCAACAACTTAAGGGACTATTCTCTTTATTCTCTTCTCTGCTCCACAAGAATTTCGATCACCAACTAAAATACAATACTTGGCTTTGGTTTACCTTTCTTTTGCTGGCTAAAGTAGGTGAGGGAAGAACTTTGAAGAACGAATCCAGTCTTCCCTGTGTGGATCCCTGGCGTGCTTTCACGAGCTTCTTCGTTCCTGATCGTATTCTGTCTTCGCTGAGGATGACAAAAATCAAAAACTATTTTTGAGAACAAGTTCACTTAATTAGACGAACTTACAAAGACTGTATAAAGAAGTTCGTTTGAAAATACAACAAATAAGGAATTTCTCAGAAAGGGCACGTGTTATCGCCCACTAAAAATAAATGCACCTAAAATGTACCCTTGAAGGGCTGACCGGTATTTACGCAAGGGCTCCTTTCCCCTTTGGGGCTTCTTTGAATGTTTCAGTGAACTAAAACAGGGTGAATGAGGTTCAATTCCCAAACATTTGCTGTAAAGTACGAGAGGTTTCACGACATGTAGAAGAAAACTATGACAGGTTTCATAAATACAAAGATTCGAACGATGTTAGAAACCAAGTCCTCTACATTAGACACGCTCTACCACCTGAATTGTGGAAGCCTTAGCGCATAAATTACAGGCCGGAGTTCCTACCATAATTTCTTTGGGGTTCACAATAAGTTGAAGTGTTTTACTCATTTTACATTCCATGCTATGATTTCGCCTTCTTTAACACGACTCGCTAAAATTTAATTTGGTAGTATTTACGTTATGTACTGAGTATTTTTCCTCTTGTTAATTGATGGGTACCGTTTGTGCAACGCTCAGTTTATCATAACAAAAAAACCCCACTAAACTGAACTCTCAATTGTTTCGGCATGTTACCTTTCTCGGCCTTTTATTCTGATAGGACGTTTTTAGACCACCACAGTGCACGCGGTAATGGTTTTGACTAGTGGTATGTAGGTCTTTAAAACTGTTCTCATCTCTTAAATTGTCTGTGCTTTTGACAAGCTGGCTACATTATTTATCTGCTAACCTAAAGCCTTTCTCTTCAACAAGGAATTTGACTAGTTCCTCTTCATTAGGAGCTTCCCACCTCAACTGAATATAAATACACAATAAGTAAAATAATTTAACCTGTTAAGATTCAAACTAAAAAAAAAGAAGTATAAAGCCTATACGTTTAAGAAGGCAAAGAGGGTTGACTTTATAACAAATTGGCTACAATTTACAATTGTTTATCCTCTTAAAAACAATACAATAACATTGAAAGTTCAACCGCGTCGTCAAAATACGCTATCATTAAGTGCTTTCCATAATCTATACCCTCAAAGACTAAAGCGCTCGACCTATCAGCAGTTATTGTGAAAGAGAGAAAACAGTCATTAAGGTGAAGAAAACTTTGTAGCATTAAGCCCCGTGCAAACAGACGCAACATTGTTGGTAAACAAGAACGCCCAGAATTGTTGGATGTTACACGTTGCATCCGTTTGCACACCCTGTTGCATGTTGTTAGTAGTTGTTGCGCAAAGTTTGAAACCGGTCAAACTTTTAGCTAAGTGCAAACGGACGCTACAGCTCCCAACATTGTTGGCCCCTCAATCTATCAAAATTGAATAGGAATTGATAGAGCACTTAAATTAAGTAGACAAGTGCAAGACAGTGCCATTAACATACGTAAGGCATAATGTATTTGGATTACATTGTCACTGTCATAACCTGAGGACATCACACTACTGCAAAAACGCTTCCTTCTCTTTATTGTGTAATAATGCAGTAACGTTCAATAATAAGCATACTGGAGCACAAAATCAATAAAGCTGCCTACCTCCACATCTTCCACTTTAGCAACCTCGGGGTTTTTAAACAATTCCCTGGCTTCCTGTCCAGACAGAGTTTATACAGTTAACTCGTAGCTAGTATTAAGACAATAGGTAACAAAAACCTTTATACATGTACTCTTGTATCGATTGGTCTTTTATGCTTTTCGCTGACATTACATCATAGTTAGCTCATGTTTATAATTTACATCTTAAAAAAGCGACACATTACCTGGTAGGGCCAATCTTCAGGTAAAGGGTATTTCTGAAAAATTGAGGCAAAATCAACTTTAATTCTCTTATACAATGTTGCTATCAACTCCCTCACTATTCTTTACAGTTTGCCGTTATACAGTCAGATATAATGCTGATCTGTACTGAAACAAACGTACCTTTGTATCAATGTGTTTCACGATTTCTTCAATAGATTTGTATTGTTTGATTAGATCAATTGCTCTTTTTGGTCCAATGCCTGAAGAAAGAAGCACATCAAGGCACAGCTTTTGGCAATTCTTTAAGTAACAAAACATTTTAAAAAAGGTAGAGGGATACAGATAAAGTGTCAATAAGAGAGAATAATCTAGCTCATTCTCTCTTGGTGTCAATTAACATGTTCTTGGTCGTACGATCCCAAGCAAAATGCAGCTATTACACAAGAATCTTTTCGTACCTTTGATGGAATCACAGTAGTCACATCCTAACAGTATACAAAGATCAATAAACTGCAAAAGAACGGAGGAATGTACTAAGTTAAAAACTGTTTTGTTCAACTGCAGTGTGTTAAATCGGTTTGATAACTCAAAGCGGTTTTTCTTCGGGTACTTCGGTTTTACCCTCTTCTTAAAAACCAACACTTTCAAATTCAAGTTCAATCTTAAACGCACGGACACGTTTCGTGAATGCTCTGTCGGTAAACAAATGACGATTTTTTTTTTGACAATTGGAGACTTCACAACATTTCCACTGTTCGTGTGGTCAATGTGTTTTTACTGGTAACTAATAGGGAATTTCGTATGCAGCGCCAAGAAAAAACGAACACCTTTAATGTTACTTCTGACGAATATTAACCTTAAGCAGAAACTCATAACTTATGGGTTTCTGCCTTAAGTCATAAGCAAGTACAAGTTAATTAACATCATGTTTTAGTGTAATTCTTATTTTGGTGTTACATGTGTACAAAGACACATGACAATTTCCTTTAGTTCTATCTGAAACAAAATTGTTCAACAAAATGATTAAGATTTGCGGCTCTTACCTCATCATGGGAAAGTCCAAGCTCACCAAGAATTCGTTCCAAATAAAATTCTCTTATGGGAGTTTTCCTGTATTTAGTAATAAAAATAACCACTGTAAAAACATCAAATCTGAGTGTCAATTAAAAAAGTTAACCTAGCAAACCTTTCTCACAGGTGGTGCAGAGCATCAGACAGTTTTACTACGAGCATTTTGCAAGGTCTGAGTCCTAAGTGACCATGCTCACACCGAAATCAAAGATAAGGAATAACAGACAAAGTTGTATTAGTGCTGTCAATTTTTGTAAAAACTAAGACAATTTGAAATAACACTTATGTAAATCTAGGAGACACAAACCTAGCTTCACTAAATGTAAGATGTCGCAGAAGGACTGTTGAACCAAAAGTGAGGGCGTCCATATCCTCTGTTCCCGTAGCATAAACCTGAAAAATGGATTGAAGTTTAAGATACCCTACCATAATTACATACATACACTGTTTACAGGTAGTCATTACAACACCTGAAGGAGGATCATGAGGTTATCCCCATATTAGGGACCTTAAGTATCGACGACGAAATGGGACGACGACGCCCACCGGAAGTGAAATTTCCCGCGCGAACCTTCGGGGCATGCGTAAGGTTGTCAAAACGTCGTCCAATCTCGTCCCGAGAGCCTCCGTTACTTTTGTCCAGCGGATGGGACAATCCGCTGGACAAAAGGATCGCGGCCTCTGGGAACGAGATTAAACGTCGTCAAGCCTGCGTCGACGACGAAATTCAGGGAGGTTTGCCGTCGTCGATAAAACGTAAGTATAAAACTAATACTTTTTGCGTGTACATCACTCTTTCCCCCCCCTTGTCATTAAGTAAAAGTAGAAATATATTCTTTGTGGATTTGCAGAATCCAAATGTTAAGCACTTCGTCGATTTCTTCGCCTGCTAACTTGAATTGATTTTCCAGGTTCGGTTTGTCTGAAAACCTGAGTGATGGCGGAACAACCAGTCAGAAAAACAAGTAAGCTTTCCCCTGCTATCTTCCGAACCTTTTAGATTAGATGCTGTTTGTTCCCTTACGGTGTATGTTTACTCGTGCATTCTAGGTTGTACTATAGGATAAATTTTCATTTTTTCTTACTAAATTAAAATTTGATTATTTCCTATGTTGTTTTTAGCCGCTAGTAAAGGCAACTATTTTCCAGTGGACTCTGGAACATGATGTGGCTATGAGGAACCCTGAGAGAGGAAAAATATGGAAGAACATTGCAGCAAAACTTAATTCTTTTCAGCAGCCGAAATTTGGCGTAACTGCAAGTCAAGAGCTGTTTAAGATGGGTATACACTTTTAACTTGAAAACAAAAACAAAAGCTGCGCGACGAAGAGAATCGAAAGCCTCCAAAATCGAATGATCGAGGTCGTAAAGAACAATAAATTCGCCATCGTCGATTAAACCATCAAATTACAGAGGTAATTGAATGCCATAACAAAACTGTACAAAGACAAAGTTCTTCTTAAAGAAAAAGTCGTCGTCTGTCTGGGAAGCTGCACTGGTTAAACTTCGTTTTCCCCGCCGAAAACGAAACCCTTGGCGCAGTCTGCCTCGGTTCCGAAGCGTCGTCGTCGTCCGTTTCGTTGTCGATGCTTAAGGTCCCTGTTAACATCTCTCCTCACAGATAACCCACCCAACTCAGGAAAGGTTGGCCACACTACCCTGGTCTACGTTGCCTACTCTTTTCAAAAGGAAGACTTAGTATGGGTTCTTTTCCGTCCCACAAGAAAAAGATAAGCGAAAGTGCTATGTGACGCCGGGACCTACGGTTTTTCATCCAAGAAGACTAGAAAGTCTAACCGTCATTTTAAGGGCAGCACAATCTGCTCAGTTATTTTAAGACCCTGAGGGTTAGTCCGGCTGGGGTTTGAACCCGCGAACTCCCACTCGGCAGACTAGCGCTCTCCCAACTGGGCTAACCAGCAGTAAGGAATATAAGAAATTTAAGAATATCAAGCAGTACATCACTGTAAATATGGGTTACTGATATTGCGTACATCAACGTGGACAGAAAATACGGTAAATTTCAACAAATAGTGAGCTTTTTACACTTGCAGTCTATTGTATTATCAGCAAATAAGAATAATAATTCCACATTCGTTTTAGTTAGAGGATGGCCTACTTGCTGACATGCTAATTTAATGAATTTTTACAGGTTTCAGATAACCTGTTAAGTGGCCGTTCTTGCTCGCCAAAAGCATTGTAAAATCACAGTTAACTTAATAAGGAGGAAAAGCTCCAGTATAATCGGAGTCTATTAGGCTTTCAGAAGAGATATTTTCGGCAGTATTTATCAAAACAAGAAGCAGATGGGTTGAATGAGCCTTTAAAGCACATACCTTTCCTGCTTTAACCAAGGCTGCACATTGAGCTTCTGCTTCACAGGGAGCCTAATACCAAGGACAATGGTATCAGCAAAGGGTACAAATAAAATGAGACAAAAGATTACCTTGTAGTTCTCACTAATGATGAGGCTTTCACAAACAATTGGAGGCACCATGTTGATGAGCCTCAAGTGATGAAATAAAAATAAAATGTTCACCAAGCCACGAGGGCAAGTGTCCAGCAATGGCAACAACCAAACTTACAGTGTACCCTGCTGCGGAAGTTGCAAATATAATGCTTTTTTACTCGGGCCAAGCCAAGCTGTTCACTTAGTAGGTTTAGTAAGTCCACAGTTATATATGGATGGGTTAGCCAACGGATCATGAGTAGACTCTTAAATCTCATGACACTACTGTACTGCTACTAGCATTAAAGTAGTTATGTTTTAAGCATGGTTTAAACGTGTATATTTGGGATAGTCCCCGTTAGTTAAGTACAAGCAGGGCTGTGTCTTATCAGAGGAGTGATGAAGAAGAGAACAACCACTCACTACAGCAAAACCATATTTCTGAATAATTTTTTTTACATCTTATATTTTTAGGAAAACACACTTCAATACGTTACACACAGTTAACAAAGACATGCTGAGGTTTAATTGTATCCCTAGTTTTTAGGGGTATGATTATGAGTTTGAACAAGGAAAATATCATTTGTACCACGGATAAAATTGTACCATAACAAAGTAATAGCAGAGCTCCATACATGCACGAAGCCCTTTAGCTGAGACAATTTGCTTATCTATCCATCCAAAAAGTTTTGAAAGTCATGTGACTGTACGTCCACCCATCCATACCACATGGTAACCGGTGTCAAATCTCACACCTTCTAACTTGTGTGGGAGCCTGCTACCTGATATTGCACATCCATTTTTTCATCAATTGACAGCTGTCAAAACAAGGTTTCCACTGACCAGTATCACATGACCCTATCACAGGCTCAGGTGTCAACCCATAGAAGTTACATGTTTTTTGGAAGTTATCTGCAGTCACGTTACTCATTTTTCAACTGATGGCAGGCTCCAACCCAAGTGCATTTCTTTGAAATAGTAACAATTTGAAGTGGCTTGGCGCACGCTGCTGGTGTACACGAGCGTAACACCGTGCCTTACGCACGATTCGCGCTCCAGAAAAGGCACGGTTTTTGTGCCAAAGCACGGGAAAAAAACATGCAAAGGCACAGATTAGGCACACTTTAGGCACAGTTAAGGCACGTTTTAAATATTGCTAAGGCACACTTTAGGCACAGTTTGGGCACAGTTTTGGCACGGTTTAGGCACGGTTTGGGCACAAATATTCAACGCTGGGCACTTTTTTGAAAATCTTTGTAACCCGACTTGCAAAAAAGAACAAACTTGGTACGAATTACAAAAATAATTCAGATCAAACACGATACAGTTAGAAGTATAGGAAGTGTAAGTTTTGAGCCGCGCCGAAAGTCTGGAAAATTAAAGTATTCTTCGACAGTCCGTGTTTACTCCGAGGATAAAGTGGAAATTCACACGCGATATATGCCGGTCTGAACCTTTTCGATTGCCATGCAATTTTATAGACTCGCTTTCTTTCGTTTCTAAAAGAAATCGTGAAAGAAAGTCGAAGCCATAATAACAAAAACAAAGCTAAAGAAGTGAGGCACAAAAATAGCCAATAAAAGTCGTAGAAAATACTTTTTGCGATCGCGGTAAAATTGGCCTGAATTTGCATAACAACATGAAAAGTACAGAGTGGTAATTTGAAACCTTCATGCCAACGCGTGTTATTTTTAAATACAAAATGCGGCTGGTTTTTAAAAATATTTCTCTAACTAAAAAAGTAGGATTTACACTGTAGTAAAATAATTCAAGCTGCTTGTTTGTTTTTGTTTTCTGGCTCTGTTAGCAAATTAAGCTTTGATCGTATAATAATCGATGAGACGTGCCATTTATTTCATCAAAACTCATCGGCGTGCAATCAATTTTTTCGTTTTCATTTTATAAGTCATATCACAAGTAAATTCTTTTTTTGAATGCAAATCTGCCCTCCTGAAAAAAACAAATATTTCGTTCCAACTAAACGCTCCATTAAGAAGGGGAGAAGAAACCTACTTGGAAATTTTTTAACATCGATGAAATTAGCATAATATCAACAATGTAATTGCATGCTGAGCACTGACTTTAAATACGCTAACCTGTTAAAGATTCCATTTTCCTGTTTGTCGGGGCTTTCCCTGCTGTCTCTAACCGTATTCTGAGTCATGTTATTTCTTATTAGGGGATAAAAAGGTCGTCAGACCGTGTTTCTAGACTTCGTAAACCTCAAAACTGACATAATTGCCGTGCGCCCTTTTCGTTCGCTATGGAGCTCGATAGGCTGGACACGATTTTCCGAGTGACTCAATATTTTGGCACAACTTGTGCACAGATTAGGCACAGTTTGGGCACAACTTAGGCACGGCTTAGGCACGTTTTTCAAAACCAAAATGCACACTTTATGCACATCTTAGGCACATTCTAGGCACAAAATCTTTATGCCAAAGCACACTCTAGAATCCGATTTTCGGTCCAACGCACGGTTTACGAATCTTCACGTTAAAAAAATGCTGTCTAACCTTACATATTTGATCTTAGCGTAAAAATGGGTTTCCCGAATTCTTAACAGTTAGTCTATAAGGAAAATTTAACTTATGAGCATTCCAAAAATTATTATTTCTTCTCTTAACAACAACAGAAAGTCAATGAAAAGCAATCTTTTAAATTGACGTTCGCGCTGCACAGAGATCGTAGACAGAACATCTTTCTGAAAACGCCCTAAACTTTGTTGTTTTGCCATTATGTTCAGTAATTTTTAATACAGTTAGTACTCATAAGTCACTGACCTCTTCGGAGAAATTTTTCCAAAGTACCATTAACAGAAACAGAGAAATCCGACAATATGCGTGGTTAGACTGTAAATGTTACGCGAGCTGTTAAAAAATGGTCCCATTTTGAGCCATACTTTTCATATTTCAATTTTATTTTGGTCTTACAGCCAGGAAAAAAATACTCAATGAAAAGCTGTTTATAAACTTCAACTTCTTGCCAAATATCGATGCGATCTGAGTTTTAATAAGTTCATAAGAGCCAAACGATGTGAGATTCTTAGCCGTGTACACCAGTAGCGTGCGCCAGGCCAAGTAAATTATAAATTTATTACAGGGAGCTTCACCTTTAGTCCTGGTTAATTCTATATATTATGATCGAGCTCATCCCTAACTCACATCAACATATGGTATTCCCATAAGCTTCAGTAATCTCTTGCACTCTGCATTATGTTCAGGAGTAACTTTTACCTATTAAAAGTATTATAATTAGTATGTAAATTGTAATGACTTTTCACAAACATGTTCTATTTTAAACCAACATAAGACATAACATACAAGTCTGCGAGAAAATTTCTCCATGCTCTCTGCATCACCTAAAATGAAGAAAAAATTATTGAATTCTGATGTTAGCATTTGACTAAAAAAATACTGTATTATCACCCTGAACATTTGCATTCATTTGTCTAGGCATGTTTCAACACAAAAACTAGAGTACAATATCTATTTAAACTTTCAAGATGAAATAACTAAAATCCACTGATGGCCATTTCACTGACCATGATCTTGTGATCTAATCATACGACCAAGTAAGTGCTTAACAGAGTTACCAGCAGGATAAGTCAACTCACCCGCTTCCTCTGCTTGTGCCAAACCTTTTTGTGCCTCCTCACGTCTCTCTTTTCTCTTTGCCAGCTGGAAAAAAAAATTAAGACAGAATGAAGACTCAGCTGGTGTTCTGCATCTGTGAGCAACCTTCAACAATTATTCTGCTAACTCTAAGAGCTTCTTTATGATACAGTTCCACAGACAGTTTATAGCTTTTTGTCATTAACTAGTAAGCAATTATAAAAAACCCCTCTCCTTAGGGTACATATTATAAATATGTTTGATCTGTTGAAGAAGAAAGTTTCTAATTTAACAAAACAATTTGTCTATATTGAAGATCAGTAAGACTCCCTTCAAAGATTTGTACTGCTTGAAGGAAGAAAGTCTGAAAAAGGGTAACATTTTGTTGGAGCCACAACAACTGAAATTCAAGAAATCTTACTTATATCCAAGCTTTTATTGTCAAATCATTTTATTTTTAGAAAGCAGACTAATTTTCCATTTGTTCTGCCCATCAGCAGCTAGTCCCTTTTTAGAGATACCCTGGCAAAGCACTTGACAGAATGCTACTAAAGTAGAGAGAAAAATCAGTAACCCATTTGCAACCACATCAAAAACAGGCCCTGTGAAGGGAAGCTGCACAGTTCAAGCCAGCATGACAATTATCCATAGTCCCAAAAAAGATATTTCCTGAAAAGCCAAAACCAGCTGTAAAAAGGGAATGATAATCAAACAAGATTTGGTTGACAGATGACATTTCATTCAGAGACCCACACAGGAAGGACTGGCACCTGTTGAGTTGATGAAAAGCCAAATTGCTGAAAACAGAAGACCCTGTGCTTTGCCAGCTGTGTTGGTTGAGAAGAAAGATGGTAGACTAGGTATACATGTTGCCTTTGCAAGTTCAACATTAAAACAGCAACGAAAGTGTATCCAGGATAGAGCAAAATGGTTCTGTTGCATAGATGTTCAGAGTTGCTACTTGCAAGTATGGGTATGAGACTTTTAAAAAACAAAGACTGTAATGACCACACCCTTCGGTCATTATGAATTTAACATGATCCCTTTTGGTTTGACAAATTCACCTGCCACATTCCATGTGCCAATTCTTTGACACAAAGTAATCAACCTTGGCCATAGAGGTGGTTGAATACTGCAGTATGCAGTTTTCAAGAAAGACATGTACTCTGGATTCCCATTCCACATTTACAATCTGTACACCCGTAATGACTTATGTTATCAACAAAATAACAAATTCCACTGGACCTAACAAAATACCGTTTGGGGTGTGGAAAGAGTATGCTGATATTTAACTCCTCCTGTTGTAGCCATTTGGAACCTGTCTTTGTCTATGCAACAATGGCCATGCCCATGGAAAGAATGCCTCCCCTTAACTTATGCAGTAAAGTCATTTGATATTAAAAGAGAAACCTGAAAACACTGACAAATGAAGTTGCAAAAGCTCTAAAAGGCCACTGTAAAAGGTAGACAGCACTAATCAGTTAATACACTTTTACTGCAGAACATTAAAATAAACTAAGAAGGAAAAGTTACCTCTCCAGATTTCATATGAGGTGGCTTGCCATCAAAAACATACCTGCAATTACATGTATTATGCAAAATTAGTATAGGTAATAGCATGATTTGTAGTGATATTATTTGGCATAAATACCATGAGTGATATTTCAAAATTGTTATACATAATTTCACGAGCCGTTAGGCGAGTGAAATTTGAGACAATTTTGAAATGTCACGAGTGGTATTTATGCCAAATATCACGTAAAAATCATGCTATTATTTGTTTATACTACTACCCACAACAGTTTTGTAATTTTCACATGTAGGTATTTCAAATTACGCTGAAATACCACTGCTCTGAGCCAATCAAATTGCAGAAATTTCTCATGTAGTAGTATAAAATGAGAGCAATTAAGTTACCTTTACAGCTACATGCCTGCCTTTGCTACCCTTCTGAAGAAAAAAAGGTGATCTACATATATCAATGAACAATTATTATTTTGCAGGGATGCGACTTAGCAAACTGCTACAGTCAATTTATAACATGACAAAAAATTTAGCCTTTTACATAAATTATGCATGGATGGTGCAGTTGTAACAGCTTGAGGAACAGAATCTGAGGTAAAATAAAAACGTTTACTACCTAAAAGTACAAAATTACACCCTCTAGTACAGATTTTCCCTCCACAAAATATTTCAAGTCTTGATAAAAACCAGTAAGCGAATATCAATTGACACTTCTGGAAAGAGGACTGTAATGTTATGCATAGTCTGGGTGCCTGCGATATTTGGGGGGCCCACGGGCAGTCGCCATCTCGATCGTACGGTTGAGTTCTGTTTATATCTTAACATGGTGGTAGAAGAAAAGCAGTAACATGGATAGGTTACAGCCTCTGAATGCCCTTGTACTCAGGAAATTTATTGGAAAACTGGCAGCATTTTGAGCAGCAATTTCAGATTTACAAAGCAGTGTCAGGCCTAGCAGGAAAAGATGGAAAGGTTTGAGCGATGACACTGTTACATGTGGTGGGACCAGAAGCCTTGGAAGATTAAACACGTTTCAGTGGGACAGTGACGGTGATGAGAATAAAGTGGATAAAATAATGGAGAGGTTTGAATGGTACTGTAATCCGAGAAAGAACTTAACTTTTGAAAGACATACATTCTTTTCAAGGAATTAACTTGATGGGGGAAGCGGATTGATTCGTACGTTACTGACTTACATAACAAGGCAGCAAGATGTGGATTCTGTGATTTGAAGGATAGATTGATCAGTGATTGGACTGTTTGTGATATAAATGATAACATGCTGAGAGCCTGACTGCTAAGAGAAGCAGAACTGACCTTAGAGGGCTGAATTGTTATTTGTCAAGCATCTGAGATAAGTTCTGTGCAGCTCAAAGTTTTGAACAAAGAAAAGGCAGTGCACCTGGTGAGAGACAACGCATTAAATAGAGGAAACAGTCAGAAAGATGAGCATGGGAATGCGAAAGACAGCAAAGCAGGTATGATTTCCTGCCAATTCTGTGTCACAAACGAGGCTGTTGTTCTGCATATGGAAAGACTTGTAACGCTTGCCAAAGGCCTAACCATTTTGCAAGAGTATGCCAGGCTGAAAAAAAGGGGGTTCATGCAGTGGACCAAGATGGTGCCAGTGATGAACAAGCAATTGTTATTGTTGCTTTAAGTGACAACAAATGTACAGAGAATAAAAGGTACATAAATTTGAAAGTAAAAGAAAAGTATGTATCATTCACGATTGACACTGGAGCTCAGTGTAATGTCATTCTAGAAAGCATTTGTAAAGAAGTGGGTATTGTTTGTGGCAGTAAAAAGACTTGTTTCCTATTCAGGTCATGAAATAAAAACATTGGGCAAGAGTGATGTGGCAGTTGAGTACAAAGGAAGATGTCATGTAATTGAGTTTCAGGTGATTGACACAGATGTCATACCATTATTAGGGCTGCAAACACCACTGACTTTCAGTTAATACAGAGATTATTTACTGTGGCATCAAGCGGTACAAATGGGACCAAAGCAGAAATACTCGGTACCTATGCAGCTCAGTTAGGAGGCATTGGAACACTTCCAGGTGGATACGAGATGAAGATTGATGAAAGAGCAACTCCATTAGTACACCCACCAAGGCGGATCCCGTACATGTTAAAAGACAAAGTCAAGGCTGAACTATGTCGGATGGAAGAGATGGGTATTATCACCAAGGTTGGAAAACCTACCGAGTGGGTCAACCCAATTGTAGTGGTCGGGAAGCCAAATGGAGATGTCTGTATCTACCTTGATCCTGTCGATTTGATTAAAGCGGTAAAGAGAGAACATTTCCCCTTGAAAAGGGTGGAAGAGGTAGCTGCAAGTATGTCAGCGGTAAAAGTTTCTCAACCATTGATTCTACGTCAGGATTCTATCAGATTAAGTTGGTCGAAGAAAGTACTTGGGTTATTATGTTCAACACACCCTTTCGCCATTTGGTCTGGTATCAGCCCCAGAGTTTTTTCAAAGCGCCGTGTCTGAGATGTTTGAGGACAGTTATTGTTGATGATTTGCTAGTGAGGGGCAAGAATACAGAGGATCATGGTCACACTCTGAAGCAGGTGTTGAAGAGAGCAGAAGAGAATGATTTCAGATTTAATGAGCAAAAGTGCATGTTTCACAGGCAGGAAGTTGCATATGTGGGACATATACTTGTATTTGGGACTAGTATTGATAGCTTGAGACCAAGTTCAGACAGAATTCAGGCCATTTTGACTATGCCAGTTCCACAAGACAAAACAAGCCCACAAAGATTTATGGGTATGGTAAATTAACTCTGGAGCGGCACTGAATGGAAGCACAGCACAAAGCGTACAAAGAGCTTATCATCTGTTTCATCCAATCACCTATTCTTAGGTATTTCTATGTGAATGAAGATGTCATTGTATCTGTGGACGCCTCCTCAGAGGGTCTGGGTGCCTGTTTGCTGCAAGAGAACCAACCAGTAGCCTACACTGCATGTATCAAGATCACTGAACAGCACCGAGCAAAATTATGCTCAAATAGACATAGAAATGTTAGCTATTGTCTTTGGCACCAGCAAATTTCACCAATACATTTATGGAAAAACATTTATGGAAGAAAGTGACCTCAAACCTCCAGAGGGGTTGTTCAAGAAACCATTGTCTATGGCTCGTAGCGCATTCAGCAAAATGATGCTTCATGCACAACAGTACGATCTGGTAGTCAAGAACAGACCTTGCAATCAATTGCACATTACAGATCCCCTAAGTTGTGCTAGTCAGTTGGAGTCTACATCACAGGCAGACAAGTCTGAAGTCCATTTTCTTGTACAAATCGTAAAAGAAAAGGCTGATGAGTTTAAGTGAGAGACGGACAGTGATCCACTGTTATCGAAACTGAAGACTGTGATTGTAACAGGCTGGCCTGAGAACAGGTCAGAAGTGGAGCCAGAATTACAAGATTTCTGGAACTTTAGAGATGAACTGTGTATTTGTGATGGACGGTTGATGAAAAGCACTCGATCCATATACAAATGTAGTGTGTGAGATGAAATGCTTAAGAAAATTCATGGCAGTCACTTAGCGATGGAGAAATGTTTCAGCGGAGCAAGAGAGGGAATTGTTCTGGCCTAATATAAGTGGGTCCATTTAAGAGGAAGTTGCCAGTTGTGGAGTTTGTAATAATTATGTACAGGAACTATCAAGTCAAGGAGCCCATGCTACCTCATCCATTTCCTGATTGACCCTGCCAGGTGTTAGCAGTAGACATGTTGGTCCTTGCACAAGGAAAATTTGTCGTGCTTGTGGGTTATTACTCAAAGTACTTTGAACTGACACAGCTCAAAGACAGCACAAGTGCCTCTGTCATCAACTGTCTAAAACAGCATATGTCAAGACATGGAATACCGGAAGTTCTCCATTCACATAATAGCCCTGAATTTAGCAGCTTGAAATTTCAACCGTTTGCCAAACAGTATCAATTTCAGCATGTTACTTCATCATCAAGACTTCCTCAGAGCAATGGCTTGCTGGAACGTACAGTACAAACAGGCAAGAAGCTCCTCAAAAAAACAATTCAAAAAATGAGGATAACAAAGATAACTATTTAGCAATTCTGGAGTTACGAAATACTCCAATTCCTGGAGTTGGGCTTTCCCCCCCCTCAGTTTCTCATGGGTGTTGCACAAGAAGCGTCATTCCCTTTAAGAATACCTTGCTAAAGCCAATGACCTACGACCCAAGTGAAAGTTCGGAGAGTGTTGAAAGAAAAACAGCAAGTTCAGAAGAAGTATTTTGATCGAAGCTGCAAGTCCCTTGAATCATTAAAACCTAGAGATAGTATCAGGGTGTGACAGAGACGAACCTGGAAACCAGCAGTGCTGTTAGGGAAATTTGACAAAGGCGAATCAAGATCATATTGTGTGAGCGAATGACCATCATTACAGACGAAACAAGAGTGATATTCTAAAGACACAAGAAACCCCATTACAAGAAAAATCGTCCAGTGAAGTAGCTGGGGACACCAACAGCTGAGACCCTGTTGCAGACCAACTACCTAATGACCCTAGAGATGAGTCTGATAGAGAACTAACATCAGCTACATCTCCAGTTATTTGCAGAGTCAGAGGTCGAGTCATCCGCATACCTGTGTTACCGAGAATGATTTCATTGTTCTGAATGGCATTGAACACTGAACATGTTGTTAGCAAACTTAAGATGCATTTCTTAACATTTAGTTTGCTCTGTTATAACGCTGTTCAGCTCACAGTATTTGCGACATTTGTTATTCAGTTAAGAGCAACAGGGAAAGATGTAATGTTATGCATAGTCTGGGTTCCCTGTGATATTTTGGGGGCCCAGGGGCAGTCGTCATCTTGATCTTACGGTTGAGTTCAGATTATATCTTAACAAGGACCTTGAAATAATTAGCAAATTTACAATTTACACCACCTTTGAGACAAGAAAGTAACAAGCGCCAACAATAGCCATGGCTCTTGGTGTCACAGCCCCATTATAATCAAAATCAAAAGATGTTAATTTTGTTAGTCAATACGGAAAATTACAGTATCATGGTGAAAACAATTCTTTGTCATGTCCAACTTTCAAATAAACACCGCCATCAAATAAGCGCCACATTTGAGGTGTGAAAAATGTAATAAGTGCCACGCTGCTTATTTGAGTAAATACGTACACTAATATTAATGACCAACCAGTATTCGAATATATATGTCCTTTCAAAATAAAGGTTTGAAAGGACACATGTCCTTTTAAGTAAGAAAAATTATTTCCAGCACTGTGTTGACAAATCACTTTCAAATTTTGAAAAAAGTAAAAAGTTGAAGAAAAAATAGAAAGAAAAACGTGGGAGTGTCTACCTACTTTAGTTTTTTTAACTTAACCTGCCTTAATTTGACAAGAGACCGGTTTTCAGAAAATAATGTGTTCTGTAGATATGTTCCAGCTATGGTAGGATGCAATGAATACAACATGTACATGTACACACTGTACGCTGCAGGGAGAAGCAGAGAGAAAGGACTGATCCACCAGTCATCAAAGAAAGTTTTACAACTCATTAATGTATTGCTCGTTTTGTATGGCTAGTAAAAATAATTTTCCTCATGCATATCTCGTTGAGCACTTTAGGTGCGCGTTCTATTCTGTAGTACGGTATTTTTCATTGGCTTACGTTGGGATAGCACTCGGACTTTAAAAGGCCTAGTAAAAGTCCTGTGCCTCATTCCAAGCTGTATTACTAAGTTTGTTACTTCAGCCATCCTAAAGTTTTGTAATTTCCACCCTTCCCTCCCTTTGGAGGCTTTGTTGTTGTTCCTAATAAACATGGGCTCACCGCTTTCTTTCGCCTTTGGTTTAAGTCTCACGGCGACTTCCCCAAGCTTTGATTTTAACGCAAACTTTTATATTTGATTGTATTCCAGCACGTGCCAGCAGAGTTGGCTCGTAGTGCTGATAAGATAAAGTTCCTAGACCAAAATACAGTAAAATTCCGAAAATAAGCCCCTCCAAATATAAGCCCCCCAAACTCGTAACGCAAAAAACCCTCCGTTAAATCGCCCCTCCAAATATAAGCCCCCCGGGGGCTTGTACTTGGAAAATTGCCCTCAAATACAAAGAAAAACAAAGCAAAAATGGTAAATTTACTTCTAAATAGAAGGTTAGCCCAATCGATTTTGAAACGCAAATTTCCCTCCATAGATAAGCCCCTCCGAATATAAGCCCGTCCAAAAATAAGCCCCTCAAAAAGGCCCTTTGAAAAATATAAGCCCTGGGGGTTATTTTCGGAATTTTACGGTATTTGCCTACACTGTTCCATTAAGTTGCACGATGGTGACCGGAGGTTCCAGCTCATAGTGCCGTGGAGTGTTAGGCTGTATTAAGTTTGTTTCTTTCGGACCTACCTGAATTTGTCCGATCTGGCACACGTAAGCACCGGGGAGATAAGTAAGGCTTTATGGTCACACTATGGAAGTCGTCCACCACGCCGATTGCGGAGTGGTGTTCCCCACTTTACGCCATATGTTTGTTGTCTTGTTTTATTACACTTTATTGTAAAGCCTAGCTAAAGGAACTACAACATTAATTGAATGTAAAAAGACAATTACATGTACTTACACTGGTTTGATTCCATTTTCTACCATCCTGATAGTGCGATAAAACATACCCATTAAATGGCTACAAAGCAAAATAAAACACCATGATAACAAGGCTGAAAATTATTAATAAACTGAATGACAGATCCATAATTTTTATCACTCAATTAATCATAATTATTTTTTGTACATGTCGTATGTTCCTTTCATCACTTTTAGTTATTACAACAATAACTACATACACAAATTGCATATTTGACCTGACTAATAATCCACAAGGAGTTTAATAACATCAATGTGAGAACATTTGGTTATGACATCAGCATATGACCGACTGACTGCCCCTCCCCCCCCCTGCCCCCATGGACTGGCAGAGAGGGATTAAGTAGATTCTGGAAGAGAGGGGATGGGGAATCTAAGACATGCAACTTGTGTTTGTCTTGGCGAAATGTTAACCAGTCCACCTTGAGGCAGCCAATGGAGTTTTTCCAGTAAAGATAGTGAATTTCGCTTGTAAACACAGTTTTAAGGATGTGCTTTGATTTTAAGAAATTTACACATAACTGTTCCATTCCACGCCTGATAGAAAGAAAACACAAACTTGGCCCGATTTTTCTTTTAGGTCTTTGGTATTTGGGAGCTTTACCAATGACGATAACAACAGCAACTAGAATGTCGAAAAAGCAATAGGTTTATTAAGAAAAACAACTTTGCACTGGTATCATGCATTTTTGTACATTTCTTTGGACTATGACATGAAAATGCCTAATTGTACATTTTATGGAGGACGCAAACTTTTCTTTCTCTTTCTAAAATCTCGACCAGTAGATACAGTTGTAACATACAGCTGTAAGCTACCTAATCTTATCATGATAAAAGTCTAGTGATGAATAGGGCCTTGAAAACAGGGACCAATCTGCGTGATGCTAAGAAACACACAATGACAAACATTCAACAAATTATATGTAGTAAGGTTCCAGCCATGAAAAGCTTTTGTTTGTATCTTAAAAATAGCATGCTTTCATTTATGAATAAGGCTTTAAAGATACAACTGAGCATATACGGGGGCAGGCTAGCTTAGCCTACCCCTCCTGGGGCTTCATGTTCCATTTACTGCTTTTACCATCTGGTAAATGTCTTATTAATTGCTTTTATCATAAGTAGATAAATGGAGGAATCACTTGTAGCCCCGGCTAAACCTATATGCCATTGACACTCTATTAAGCAGCCACCCTTAGGGTACTAGCAAACAGCCAAAAAATGGAGATTGGACATTCAATAGAGGTTCGTCATAAATTAGCATCATCTTTGACAAAAACGTCATGTTAGTTTGAAACAAATACACGACGGGAGCAGCATTACTGGTCCACAATTGGTTATCCCCTTCTATCTCGCATTGTACATATATTTTCGTTAATTTTGTTATAATATGAAGCCAGGTGCTTCATGGCCACTTAATAGAGGTGACAACAGAGGGAGAACTCTCATTAGGAAGGTCAAAAGCTGGTTGCGACCGCTTAATAGAGATTTACAATGTAAGTTAACATTCTTTTCTACAATTATTTTGAGACTTTGATTACTGGCCGCTAAAGAGAGGGTGGCCGCTTAATAGGTGGCCTCTCAATGGAGGTTCAGCTATATACACATAACTGGTAAAGGCTGTATAATGAAAAAAACAAAAACATGACAAAGGTGAACTAAAACTGATGTTAAGAAATAAGCAACTAACAAACATTTTTGGAGTTCCATCAATGATTGAAAAACACTGCCACTAGACATACACTGTAGTTCAATACTATACAGTGTGTAGATTAAGAAACATTCTAGTGATGCTTTTTTACCTAGTGATTTCCCCTGCCTCATTAGTAAGTTGACTTCCATCTGATCGTACAGCGATAAGAAACTGATAAATACTCATGGAAGCATCAATTGCAATCTTTCTTCCTAAAGTGGAATTGAACAAACATACATGTAATGATTACCACAGTGACAAGTTTTGGTTTCATTACACACAATGACAAGAGCCGTGACTTTTGCAGTGATCTTAGCAGGATCTGTTTTTAAAAGTAATAATTATTGTTTTGTGTGAAGAAAGACGTGTCCGATAGCCTGGGGCTAGTGGATTTTGCTATAATTGGGCTAGCGATTTTTGTTGTTAACTTGCCCGATGAGCAAGTGCTGTTTCTTGGGGAAATTTAAACTACAGAAGGATTGTAATCAATCCTGCTAATCAAAAAGGGTTTTGGGGCTAGTTGAAATGACTTGTGGGCTAGTACATGCTAGCTACAGTTCCCACGAATGGCAGGCGGTAAAACTGACTTTCTTAGCACCCTGATAGGTCTTGACAAACTGCGAGCCAGCGAGTCATGCGAGTCATCATGTGAGCCATGCGAGACAGATGTTAGTTCCCAGTCTATTTTCCTTTCTTCGGCTTTTGGCGGCTTTTGGCTATTTGGCACGAGTTTTCGCTATCCTTG